TATTAGAAACCATACATTTTTTATTACTATAGCTCTGTAGTAGTGCTTGAGATAAGGGATGGTGATACCTCTGGAATTTCTTTTATTGTACAGGATGGTTTTAGCTATCCTGCATTTTTTTTCATTTTTCCATATGAAGCTGAGCATTGTTCTTTTAAAACCTATAAAAATTGTGTGGGAATTTTGATGAGCATTTCATTGAATCTGTAGATTACTTTTCATAGGATGGCCATTTTTATTGTTAATCTTACTGATCTTTTCATCTTCTGACTGGGAGGAGTGGAGGGAGGTGATACTGTGGTTGGAATGTATCATATGAGAGAAGAATTTTTAAAAAAACATTTAGAAACCATCTGACTTAGAAAAGATTTGTTGAGGCTAAGGAGGATGATTCATTGGGTAAAGTTCTTGCCATGCAGACATGAGTACCTGGGTTTAATATCCAACACCCAAATAAAAGTCATGACAGTGTGTACTATAAATGGGAAGATCAAAACAGGAGATTTTCTGTGGCTTGCAGTCCAGCCAAAATAGCCAAATCAGACAGTTCCAGGGGCAAGAGAGAGTTTGGTCTCAAAAAATAAGGTAATCGAGGAAGACACCAAACACCAACCTCTACTCTCCACATGCATATACAGATGGCAATGTGAAACACACACACACACACACACACACACACACACAGTGAGCGAGTGAGAGAGACAGAACAAAAGAAAAGGATTTGTTATCTAGTGTCACAGTTATTTGGTTTCTCGCTGTATGGAAATAAGGCGTGTCAGAGATGAACCCCTTGACTACCACTTCCTTATGCAATTTTCTTTCATTGAGCATGGGCTGGACCTAAGGAACCACTTTTGAAATGTATAGTATGGTGACTACAAGTAATAATACTAGATTGGATGTTTGAAGTTACTGAGAATACATCTTCAATGTTCTCTCTTAGATGTATGAAGTGAGAGATGTATTAATTAGATTAATTAACTCATTTAACAGTGCATAAGCATATCAAATATGCTGTGTACAATAAAAACATGTAACATTTAATTGGCAATTATATCCTTCAAAATCTGGGTACAGCTGAGAAAAAAAGAATTTGCAAGATTAGGCTATGAACATACTGGCTTTTTCCTTCTCTCACTGGTTAAAGACATTTAAATGCTAGGAGCTGCCATGGAACATGTGACAGGGAACAGAGAATTGTCCGGTCAATAGCCAACAAGCAATTAAGTCCCTCAGTCCAATAGACAATGAAATACAGAACCCTGCTAACAACTATGCAAGGGAGCAAGACGAAGCTTATTGGTCATCACTTCCCACCACTAAAACCAAGGTGTTGGCTGAACTTTATGAAGGTTCTAGCAGAAAATTCATGTCCATATCTCTTTTTCAGCCTCTGGAAACTTCTTGAATTCTTTGTTTAACACCACCCTTCCTCCTTCAAAGGCAAGAATAGCTAGCTGGGTCTCTCTTATGTCAATTTGCCACTCCCTCTCTGTTTCCTTTCACTAAAAAGCAACCTTGTGATTACACTTGGTCCACCTAGATAATCTAGGAAAATAAATCTCTTCAAGGGTCATCTAAGTAGTAGCCTTAATTTCAAGGTACCTTTAATTTTCCCTTTTCATATGCTATAGCATATTCGCAGTTTCCAAAGATTAGATTGGGGCATCTTAAGTGTTCTCATCCCAATTGTTGACTATGTGAAGTGATGGATGTGCTAATTATTTTAATTAAATCATTTCACAGTGCATACATATATATATATATATATATATCAAAACATTATGCTGTACTCCAGAGAAATATGGAACTTCTATTTGTTAAACATTTTGAAAGCTGATTTTAAGCTGCGTGTGGAGGTACTTGAGAGGCAGAGGCAGGAATACCTCTATGAGTTCAAGGATAGCATGGTTTATATAGAGAGTTCCAGAGCGGCTGGGGCTATTTAGTGAATGTAGTCTTTTTTTTATTTATTTGTTCTTTACTCTTAGGGGGGCTGCCATCCAGCTCACAAATAATCACATGAAGACATTCTTTTTTTTTTTATGAATGACTGGCCTTAGCTTGGCTTGTTTTTAGTCAGATTTTCTTAACTTAAATTATCCCTTCTACTTGATGTCTATAACTATCCTGGAGCCTTCATTTAGTGACTGATGGAAGCAGAGGCAAACACCCACAGTTAAACACTGAACTGAACCCATGGAACCCAGTGACAGAGAGAGAGGAGTGGCGAGAAAATTGGCAAAAATGGGCTGGCAAAACCAGCAGAGACAGCTGATCTGAACAGAGGAGAGCTCTTGGACCCCAGACCGACAGCTGGGAGGCCAGCATGGGACTGATCCAGACCCCCTGAGTGTGAGAGTCAGTGAGGAGGCCTGAGCAACCTATGGGGCCCTGGGCAGTGGATCAGTATTTATCCCTGGCATACAAACGGACTTTGTGCGTCCATAACACAAAGAGGGATGCTCTCTCAGCCTGGACTCTTAGGGGAGTGCCTGGACCCTGCCCTGACTGAAATGACAGACTCTAGATATCCCCTATGTGGAAGGAAGTGGCGATAGGGTGGGAGGCTGGGGGGGATGGTGGTGGGGTGCAGGAGGAGGGGAGGGAGAGGGAACTGGGATTGACATGTGAAGCAAGCTATTTAAAATTAAAATAATAAAAGAGAAAAGTATCCCTTCTACCTTTTGCCTCTGGGCTTTTATCTTTCTCTATTCCATATACCTTCATATATTCCATATACTCTGTGGCTTGCTGTGTGGGTGGGTGACCGGCCCCTGGTGTCCTCTTTCCTTCTCTTTCTCTCACTCCTCAATCTTCTCTTCCCAGATTTCTCCTCCTATTTATTCTCTCTGCCTGCCAGTTCCACCTATCCTTTTTCCTGCCTAGCTATTGGCTGTTCAGCTCTTTACTAGGCCATCAGATGTTTTAGACAGGACAAATTAACACAGCTCCAGAGAGTTAAACAAATGCAACATAAAAGAATACAACACATCTTTGCATGATTAAATAAATGTTCCATAGTATAAACAAGTGTAACATATCTTTAACTAATATTCCACCACAACTGAGCCCTATCTAAAAAAAAAAAGCTGACTTTAAAGAAGCCAGCATTCCATATACCAGACGAGTCATGTTCTTATCTTGTTTTGTTTTGGTGTGAGTGCTAGAATTCCAGGCCTTAAGAAGTTGACTATGCCGGACAGTGGTGGCGCACGCCTTTAATCCCAGCACTCGGGAGGCAGAGGCAGGCAGATCTTTGTGAGTTCGAGGCCAGGCTGGACCGATAGCCTCCAAAACAACACAGAGAAACCCCGTCTCATAATAACCAAAAAAAAAAAAAAAGAAGTTGACTATGTATGCTATTACTGAGTTATACTCCAACCCCCATAATAGGAACTCTTTATCTAACATTATTCTAAAATAAAAGTTAATGTGTATGAATCATCAATTATGAACTATCATGGCCCTTGAAATAAATAAAAGTTTATATAATGTACAAATGGAAAGGCCTTAAATTATTTTTTTGAATATTCCAAAGTTGCAAATATCATGACATTTTGTTACAAAATGCTGTGGCATATATTCTATTACCATAACACAGCTGAGAAGTTTAACATTGGTAATTACTAACTTAGAGTCCCTCTTTGTCAAAATTCTCTATCTCAAGCATGTCCTTTACAGATAATCAAGAATCATTCATTGCATTTGACCAGCATAATGTTTTAAACTCAAAGTCATGCTGCCTTTTGCTGTTAATAGCACAGATCATCTATCCCCTAGCCTTGAAAGCAAGCAGTCCATGGTATACATAAAACAAAATCCTGGAAGCCATTGGAGGGCTGGAAATAGGTTTGGGATTCTTGCCCACATCTTCTACAGATAGTCCATTTGACCTGTCAAGCAGCTCCTTGGAAAATATCTATTTACAGATACTTTGGTTTTTACATTCATTTATTTAATGGTGGTGGTGGTGGTGGTGTGTGTGTGTGTGTGTGTGTGTGTAAGAACATATGCACACATTCCACAACATTCATGTGACTGTCAACTTGAGGCTTGTTGTAGAATGCAATGGTGAAGAATTTGGTTTGGGGAAAAATGGCATTCATACACATACCTTACTGCCCTAGAGAACTTACAGAAGAACCTTCAGTTGGAGATGAAAAAAAAACCCTTTTTACTGTTTGCTCATGGCTTTAGATGGTGAATAATAAAAATATACAGTTCTCTAATGAACCTCCCAAAAATTTAAACTAAAAAACTTCCTTAACCCCTGCTTCACCTCTTGAAAATAATCATGATTTATACTTTAGTCTATACCTGCTTAGAACATGTAAATATGTAATTTTTTTCAGTTGAATTAAGTGACTTTGCACACAATACATGTTGTTTTTTTATAGTCGGGGTGTTCAACAGATGCACATATTTATATAAATTCTATACATAGCGTGTGACCTATTTTTTAAAGTTAGATTGTATGCCATTTTGTTATTGGGACATTGTTTATTTAAATAGCCTTCTACTATTGAATATTTTTGCTTACAGTCATTTGTTATTACTATTCTATATTATAGTGAACAGTCCTGTGTATAATCTTTCTGCAGTCCCCTTCCTCCATGCCTCCCTTCATTCTTCCCCCTTCTTGTTTCCTGATTCTTCAGTTCTGGTAGCTGGACCCAGTGTTTCATACATGCTAATCAAGTGCTCTAACAATGAGTCACACCCCTACCACCTTTTCTTGTATATATATCAAACTCATGATCCTCCTGCCTTCCTGAGTAATTTTGTTTAGGGACATGCATCACCAAACCCAGTAAGGTTTATTTCTCAAAAATGATTGCTGTATTGATTTAATTTGCACTAGTAGGCTATGTGTAATATGAGTTTATATAGCTACTGCCAGGCTGCCCTCTATAGAAGCAACTAAAGGGGCTAAAATGAGACATAGCTATATTTTCCAGTTTCCTGTCTCTCCTACCTTGCACTTGTGTCTTTCATAGGATCATGCTGACATTGAGTGGAAGTTTGCGAGAACGAAGCTCTGGATGAGTTACTTTGATGAAGGTGGTACCTTGCCACCTCCTTTCAACATTATCCCTAGCCCCAAATCATTCCTCTACCTTGGCAACTGGTTCAACAACACCTTCTGTCCCAAAAGAGACCCTGATGGGAGACGAAGAAGGCACAACTTGAGAAGCTTCACAGTAAGACAAAAAAAATCTGTTTCTCTGTACACACAACTGTTTTCCTCCTTTCCCTTCCTTGGGACAGTTCCTATCTTAAATATTGTAATATCATTCCAAGTAATGCTCTGGCTCTCGCTATCTGTCAGTCAGAAGCCACTATATCATTCTACAATCTTACTATTTACCAAATCCTTGGGGTGGCTGAATGGGTAGGGTGCTGGCCAACTGATATAACCTCTCTGTCCATTTTGAATTACAGGAACGCCATGCTGATAGCCTGATACAAAATCAACATTATCAGGTACTGCTTACCCACTGGGTCTAAACACAATAGTTGTTGGACAGTTCTGTGGAATAGAAAAGCAAATTCTACTCTAGCTATGTCTGGCGTTAACTTGGCTAGGAGCCCTGGAAAGACTGTAATTCACTCAAGACTGAAGTAATTCATCAGGATGGAGTCACATGCTCTACAGTCCTGTTCATATCCTTTTAACACTACCTTGTCTGGATGTGAGCCACCCATAACTTAGAAAGCTATCTTCCTTGAGATTAAGTAGTGGATATGTAGTTGCTCAGTCAATGAATAAATGAGTACCTATTGCATACCAAGCATGAAAATACACATTAGAGAATTCATTGTGGAAAAGCAAGACATAATCTTTGTACACATTAGAAGCTTATTATCTATCAGGAATGGAAGATATTACATCACTAAAACTAATAAAATTAACTGATTAGAAGGGTAAAACGTGCTGTGAACAAAAAGCACATACAGCAATGGGAATACATAATAAATAGCAAATACAGAATAAGAGGACGTTATTAGTAACTTCGGTGAGGTAAAATCTTACATCAGGATACAGGTATTTCAAAATTATAAACATGACTTTAATCATAGGAGCAAATATGTGCTTCCTATGAGACCAGCCAGAAGACAGCCAAGCACACAAATATGTGAGATACTAAAAGTAATCTTTGAAAATTACAGAAATAGACTATAGTCAACCTTCTAGATCAAAATAAATGCAGAGTAGGGGATGTATCTATCTCACATTGTAGAAAGCTTTCCTACCATGCATGAGGCTCTGGGTATGATCTCCAACACCATATAAACTGAGTGCGATGGAGGCAAGAGGATCAGAAGTTCAAGGTTATCCTCAACTATGTAACAAGTTCAAAGACTATCGTGGGAAACCCAGACAGGAAAATATACTACAAGGTTTAAAGTAAAGGAAACTCAGCCATACTTCACAAACGGCTTCCCTAATTTTGTTCCTTTGAGGTGTAAATAACAATGAGTACAGAATTTTATAGGTAACCCTTCCCTCACTACACCCACTTCCAACTCTAATAATTTTAGAAGATGTGAAACCTAGGCAAGATTCATCACATCATTTTCTGCTTCAAACATTCTAACAGAAAGAAAAGACACTCCCTGGGCATCTCAGTGCCTTACTGAAGTTCATGTGGTAGCAGAAGTAGTAGCTACAGCATTGCTAACTATTACTATAAGCCATGCGGTAGCAGAAGTAGTAGCTACTATAGGAGTGAACCCCACAAAGCTATCCGCCCAACAGGGCGGGGTCAAGGTAGAGATAAAAAGAAGTGAAAGGAAAAGGGGCTTCCCTTTTCTCCTGGAAGCCAGCCAGGCTTCTAACTCCTGGTCTGTGCAACTCTCTCTCTCTCTCTCTCTCTCTCTCTCTCTCTCTCTCTCTCTCTCTCTCTCTCTCTCTCTCTCTCTCTCTCTCTCTCTCTCTCTCTCTCTCTCTCTCTCTCTCTCTCTCTCTCTCTGGTAAATAAATATATTGTTTTCCCTATATAGCTTCGAGTATTGTTATAAGCTACAGCATTGCTAACTATTACTATAGGCCATGCAGTAGCAGAAGTAGTAACTACAGCATTGCGAACTATTACTATAGGCTTTGGAATCAGCTTGAAGTAGAACTGAAATCTCGTTTTACATTTCCTAGCAGTGTGACCCTGAAGAAGTCAGTTAACACTAAGCCTCAGTTTCTTCATGTGTAAAACAGGAATGATAGTAAAAGTTAAATTACAGTGCCTGACACATTGCAGTAAGTGGCAGCCATCATCAATACCAACCTTGCAGCCATGTGTGTTCTGTTAACCCTGAGGCTAATAGAGGTATTCCCTGTAAAGGTGAAATGTAGGGTGATTTCATGAAAAGATATTTTGATCACAAAATTACTAGCTCATGATGGATGGTGATGGTGCACACCTTTAATCCTGGCACTAAGGAGCAGAAGCCGACAAATTTCTTTGAGTTCCAGGCCAAACTGGTCTACAGAATGAGTTTCAGGACAGACAGGGATACACTGTCTTGAAAAACAAAACAAAACAAACAAACAAAAATACTAGCTCACTTAGTGATTCTCAATTTCATGATGAGAAAAATCCCTTATTTCACTAAAAATACTAAAGTTGAATCCAGTCCATAGAAATGGATATTGAATATGAGCATTCAAGGGCTATTGTAATCTCTCTCTTTCTCTCTCTCTCTCTCTCTCTCTCTCTCTCTCTCTCTCTCTCTCTCTCTCTCTCTCTCTCTCTCTGTCTCTCTCTCTCTCTCTCTCACACACACACACACACATGCACTGAATACATGCTTACCTTATGCTTGAGTAGAAATTCTTCCTTTGGGGAAAATTTAATGTTGCTGCCATACTGTTATCAAAATTCAGAGATGCAATGACTTATTAATTCAGTGAACTTAAGTTTTTGGCATAAAACTTGTAGATATGGTGAAGATTTCCTTTTGCAAAGATGAGTTTTCTGAGCAAGTTCCTTAGTTCCTTAATTGCCTGATAGTCTGAAAAGGAAACTGAATACCTCTTTGTGGTTTTTCAATTCCAGGAAGTTATCAGAAACTTAGTCAAGAGATATGTGGCTGCAATGATAAGAAACTCCAAAACAAATGAGGGGCTAACAGAAGAAAATTTTAAGGTAATTTAACCATAAAGCGGGTAACTCTCTCTCTCTCTCTCTCTCTCTCTCTCTCTCTCTCTCTCTCTCTCTCTCTCTCTCTCTCTTTCTCTGCCCCTCTTTCTTTGAGTGTTTTCCCTGTCCACTGAGCCTACAGTCAAGTTCTAATTTCTCATTTCTTGGTATATTTTAATCTTCATAGAGTCTGAGAATTCTGATTATGGGATTCTATCTTCCTATAGTGCAGAAAACATCAATTACAATCTTACTCTTTTAAAAAATTCTTTATAAAGCTTTGAAAAAATGTTTGCATTTATTTTTCTTTTGTATATATGGGTGTTTTGCCTGCACGTTTGTTGCCTGGAGGAATCAGATTTCCCCTGGGAGTAGAGTTACAGGTTACTGTGGGGCACCATGTGGTTAGTGGGAACTGAACTCAGGTCCTCTGGAAAAGCACAGTGCTCTTAACCACTAAGCCACCTCTCTAGCCCCTGCAACTCTAATTCTGTCTTAGAATTATCTCTCATCCAGTATATGGAGAGAATTTTTTCCTTTTCTAAAAATAATAATGCCTATAATTGAAAAAGAATATTATTTTCCTTCCTCCTGCTCTTCCCAGCTTCACTCTCTCACATATTTCTTCCATATCCCACAACTCTCAAGTTGATAGCTTATTTTTGATTTTTTTTGTTTCATACATGTGTACGTGTGTGTGCAAATATATGTAAATGCAGCTTTTTGAGTTTTTGTTGTTTGCATCTATATGGTTTCAGGGCTGACCACTTTGCATTGGACAAGCAGTTAGGGGTCTTATCCCTGGGAGAGGTTCATTCTCCTCCCAGCAGTCACTATTACCTGTAATTCTTTGTCTCAGGTTGGGGACCCATGAAATTTGGGGTTGAAACGTCTTAATCAAAGTCTGTCACTATCAGTTTTATGACCAAAATGAACCCTCCCTACATATCCTTTACTTTAATATTATCAGTGTGAGAATAATGCTTAACTGTACAGCACAAATACATGGTAAGGGGTAAGGCAGCAAAATGAAAATGCCTGGAGATCTTTAAGGCCTTCTTTAAAGATGGACAATAAAGTCCAAGAAATATACTAATAAATTTCAAGGCTAAAGAAACTACAATTACATAGAATTTTCCCACTGTTGGTATTCGTCTAAACGAATGACTCTCACACTGGGGCATTTATATACTTAGGGCACATTTGGCTGTCTTGAAATGTTGTGATACTGGCATCTAGTGGGTACAAAGAGGGTTGCTACTAACTATACCACAGTCAACAAGATAGCATTTCATCATAAAAAAAAGGAAAGAAAAGAAAGTAACTATCCTGTCAGGCATCAGTAGAGCCTAGAATAAGAGCCCTATCCCAGGATTCATGACGTATGCACACATAGACACATAATAACACACCCCTGTAAGGTACACAGAAATTCTATTATATTAGTCCACAGACAGAACTTATCTTACTAAGTTATTATTGTGTGTCAGTCCATTAGTACAGGGAGCAGCTGGAGGATGGGGGAATTGGAAGAAAGGAAAATGGAAATGGAGAGGTACCAGGTACAGAAAGGCCTTGTAGTCCATGATATGACATTTATAGCGTTTCCTAAGACAGGGATGTTACTAAGATGTTTTAAGCAGGGGGATGGCATGATCAGATTTAAGCTTTGAAAACTTGTAAAGAAACAAGGTAATGGTATCCAAGCAGCTGGATAGAAGGCAAGTCATATGTGCTTGAATGACTCCGTACTCCATCCCAAAGCAGCAATCTCATCACCTGATCCTTTATTTCTGCAATTTCCTTCCTGGGTCCTAACGGTTTTTTCTTCTTCAGTTGTCCTTTTATTACACTCATGAGAGCCAGTACTCCAATCAAATAGCTTGTCAGTTACTACTATATTTTGAATACTTTACGTGTGGGGGTGTTTTGTCTATATGTATATTTGCCTGCATACATGTATGTGCACCATGTGTGTGCCTGGTACAGGTAAAGGCCAGAACAGGGGTTCAGATCCCCTGGAACTGGAGTTACAAACAGTTGTGAGGTGTCACGTGGGTGCTGGGAATTGAACCGAGGTCCTCTGGGGGAGGAACCAGTGCTCCTAATTGCTAAGCCATTTCTTAGCCCAGTTATCACTTTATTAGAAATTAGTTTCTATTCCTGGTCCACAGGTCCTGAAATCAACCTGGCCCACTGCAGTTTTTCCAGTGGCCACAGAAAAGTCTTTCTTTGCTTGGCTAATGAAAGATTTTAAGTATAATGTGTGCTTCATGACTTACTACTATGTAAAACTTAGCCCATCCAAAATTCCAAGTGTCTTTTATAATTGAAAGACTATTTTTCTGACAAAGCATGTCTCCTTTCTTTTTCTAGGAATTAAAGCAGGACATCTCCAGCTTTCGATATGAAGTGCTTGACCTCCTGGGAAACAGAAAACAACCAAGAAGAAGCTTTTCCACTAGCAGTGCTGAATTCTCTCAAAGGGATGATACCAATGATGGCAGTGGTGGGGCTCGGGCCAAATCTAAGAGTGTCTCTTTCAATTTAGGCTGCAAGAAAAAGGCCTGTCATGGGGCACCTCTCATCAGAACCATGCCAAGAGCCAGTGGTGATCAAGGAAAGTCGAAAGCTGAGTCATCAAGCAAACGGTCCTTCATGGGTCCCTCTTTCAAGAAACTGGGTCTCCTATTCTCCAAGTTTAACGGTCATAACTCTGAACCCCCTTCAGAGCCAATGTACACAATCTCTGATGGAATTGCACAGCAGCATTATATGTGGCAGGACATCAGATATTCTCAGATGGAGAAAGGGAAGGCAGAGGCCTGTTCTCAAAGTGAAATGAACCTCAGTGAGGTAGAGTTAGGTGAAATCCGGGGTGCTGCTAGGAGCAGTGAGTGCCCCCTAGCCTGTTCCAGCTCTCTTCACTGTGCATCTGGCATCTGCTCCTCAAATTCTAAACTTTTAGACTCATCAGAGGATGTATTTGAAACTTGGGGAGAGGCTTGTGACTTGCTCATGCACAAATGGGGTGATGGACAGGAAGAACAAGTTACAACTCGGCTCTAAGTCAAATCCCCATCATCTGTTCTGGAATTCAAGAGAAAAATTGTGATTTCTTCATTCTCAGAGGTGACCCCAATATGGCTGCCTCATGGTCCCCCCTTCCAAAGGAGTGAAGCTCCTATTGTTTTCAGTCTTTTCTAGCCACATTCTTCATGTTTTGTTTTACTGTCATTAGAATTTGCCTTTTTGTATCTATAAATACTAAATTCATCTCGAAACCAACTGAAGGGGCATTGCCCCTAATCAGCAGAGGTGCAGTCGGGTGCTTAACCCCCTTTGCTTTGCTGTTCTTACCCTTGCCTCCTTGAAGCTCCAGGTGCCACTTTGCTACCATAGCTGCTGCACAGATTCCTGACCTTCCTCAGGATCTCACTCCCATCTCCGCCACAGAGCTGAGGGATATGGTCAGCAGTCCCTACCAGCTAGCAGATAAGGCAAACCAACCTGCCTGTCTTTGTTGCTCTTCAGTGCTACACGCTGCCCGTGCTGGGCCAATGAACAGCATGAAAGGGAGACTAGACTCCAAAGAATTGTCAGCTTGTGGTTTCCAGGTAGAATAGGCCTTTCTGTTTTGTTTTAAAACACTATTAACTTCTAATTGTGGGGACCGTTGAGGTTTCGTTTCGTAAAGATGTGTTAGTTTCTTAACGTGTGCCAGTGAGATATTTACTCTACAGTGTGTGTTGTATCTAATAAGTTAACTGATTTCCTTTCCTGTGTTTGTATATTTCAGTTAACTTATATATTTTAAATTTTGAGAGTATCAAAATTAGTATTTAGGATGTGTGCTTTTTTCCAAAAAAAATCTTCTACTGCACTTTAACTAATAGCTACTACATCTCATACACTGGCAAGAAAAAAATATAATTAGCTAGTATATTTATAGGGTCCTATCTACTGTGGATAAGTTTTAATCATCATTGATATGAAGCATTTCTAAGATTAAAGGCTGGATTTGAATTTTTATAAGAAAAATGAGATTTTATTGAGGTGTTTAAATTTAGGGGGGAAAAGGAGCAACTCAATTAACTGATTTCTGGAAAGAAAACCTAGCAGATATAATTTTAGGTTCAGATAACCTAATTCAGGTTGCAGCTGCAATATTCACTGGGGGACAGTGGAAACTGCTTGTGTGAACTATTAAGATATATAATGTAATAATCCTAGTGGATTCGTAGAAATAAATTCTGCCTTCAAAGAAAGCTACATTTATACATTCAAACTCTTTCCCATAGCCCAGGAATATTTAATCAGAACAGAAGTTAAAAATGAAGTTAGGATGTATAAGGTAATCATTTTAGAGCTGATAACCACCAAACAATAGCCTGCTGAGCAAGCATAGTTTTGCCAACATATGCTTGGCTTGTGGAGGTTAACAATTTTTATGGCAGGAAAGTAAAATGTTTGTTGGGCATCACCTGTTCTTTTTAAATGTCAACACCAACAAGAATCCACCTACATTCTTGTTTGTAATGTCTGCTGGCCTTGAAATGAGGTAAACAATATAAATATGTCTATAAACTTGCTTTTGACAGTGCAGTTTATGCTAAACTGATTTTTCCACCTCTATTGCTAGCACTGGTGAATGATGATGATAAAAGTGTTTCATGTAGAAAGGAGCCAAATTAGGGGCAAAGGAGGCAGGAAGTTGTGCTGAATACAACTCAGAAATACAGAAAAGGGAATTACGAGAGTAAGATGAATCAACATGCATTTGGCAAGGGTTTGTCCCAAAATAATCTTAGTCTTATCTGAAGTGCTCATTTATTCAAATCCAACTGCTGCCCTACTTTACTGTGGGACTATTACAAAAATGCTCCAACACTAAGACAGATTACTTTCTAAAGTCAATTTCAACTTTCCCAACTTTAAACTTTATTCTTAATATTGAATGAGCTTAGGCTACAACTCTAACTCACAACACCACTACCAAGGCTATATGTAACCACATAGTTAAAACGTCTTTCTCCCAATATACAAACTATTAACATTCTAGGTGTAACTGTTCTAAAGGTCAGAAAAGAGTAGGAAGCCATGAAGTCAAGTTCCAAAGTCTTCTCTCAGTTGTGTTCTGAAGAGAGAGGAAGGACATTACAACAGTCATTCTCTGCTATTGAAAGACACCAGGGCCATATTTCTTGGGAACACATTCCATTCCAGATCTCCTTAGGGTTTTCATCTTTGTGACTTGAGCTTAAGACTGCACTAGCTATGTTGAGGCCTCGTTTAGAATAAAGGTTGAAACCAAACAGCGATTGTCCTAAGTTCCATGTTTGTGACAACAACATTTTTTTAAATTTCTATTTATTATGTATACAGTGTTCTGTCTGCCTGTATGCCTGCAGGCGGGAAGAGGGCATCAGATCTCATTACAGATGGTTGTGAGGCACCATATGGTTGCTGGGAATTTAACTCAAGATCTCTGGAAGACCAACTAGTGTTCTCAACCCCTGAGCCATCTCTCCAGCCCAACAACAAAATTTTTATTAACTCCAAGCTAATACTAAGCAGCAAGGAAAAACACATCTCCTACCCTGTCAATAAGCTACTGTTTAGAAACATTTCAGGGATGAAGAACTTTCCTAACGGTCAGCCCTGAGTTCTGGTGCTGGTACCATTTTAAAAAGGTGGAGGGCTGGAAAGATGACTCAGTGCTTAAAAGCATTCCAACAGAGGACCCAGAGATTCTATTCCTAGCACCCACATGACAACTCAAATCTTCCTGTGACCCTCTTCTGGACTCCCCGGGCACCAAAGTCACTTGCAACACACACACATATATAAAATAAAAACAAATCTTTTCAAAAGAGAGATTTGAAGTGAAAATACTTAAGTATGTATTTTCAGTCCTGAGAAGGTATAAAGGCAACGTGAGAGTACATTTATAAGAGAGAGAGAGAGAACTGGAGAAAGGATCCACTGGATTCCAACCTCATATTTATAAACAGAAAGACTTTTAAACAGGTGGTATCATGGTATCCAGAGAAGGACACCAAGCTGGTCAATAAACCCAAATTTTCTAGATCATAGAAACACTGCCTAGCAAATATATGTTATATATAGATGTTCAAATAAAATGCCCTCTATACATGTCCGTTGTTTTCATTTGTCTAAAATACTGTGAACTCCAAAACTGTACTTAAATATAAATTTAAAATGTACTGTTGCAAAGTAAAAATAACTATAAGAATCAATTAGTTATATGAAATAACACCGTGACTTACTTCCGTTACAGTCAACTTTCTTATAACTTCTAGGTACCTTGGGTTCATTTGTTTGATACACAAATTAAAGTCTTCTTAATAATAATTAAGGTAAACATATAAAGTCTGAATTATATCATAAATTATATCATTGTTATCCTCTTCCACTTTTAATGTTAAGTCCAATGATGTGCAAAAACGGGAAGATTCTAAACTCAAAATTGATCAATTTGAGTCCAGTCTGACCTTATCTCAGAAACATAAGGGTGCCTACAGTGAAAGCCAATATTCACCCATTTGCAGCAGACTTTAAGGGGGTTTCAGGACAAGTTGACATCATAGGATCTGTGCTTCCACTACCATATTTCATGCAGGTATGCAAACATACACATCACAACCATAGATGTCCTGTTCTCATTGGTACTTGAAAGAACAGATGAAAGTGTGCCTTTTGGCAAGCAGATTAAGCTGGGCTGGGAATTTGGTCTTTTCCAATGAACTTCAGTATAACCCCAATTGTCTTCCAATCTAAAAGCCCATTAGACAATTTTTCAGTCTCAGAGACCCTTGAAAAAGAAGGCAGAAAGGACACTTGAGATTTTCACAAGGGCTCTTAAAATCGAGAAGAAACAAAAGCTTCCAAAAGACAGACAAGTGTAGCTAAGCACTACAAATAGGAATAAATCATCAAATTGTTAGGATGATCAAATTGAGATAAATTGTTTGATTAAAAATGTGGTTTCTGGGGCAGGAGGGATGGCTTAATGGCTAAGAGCAATACTGGTCTTCCAGAGGATCAAAGTTCAGTTCCCAACACCCACATCAGGAGGATCACAGCAACCTGGAATTACAGCTCCAAGGGATCCTAGCCTTCTTCTGACTTCCTTGCAGACAGATACACACACACAAACACACACAGAGTAATGTCGTTTCTTATGGCTGGGGGAGTAGTTAATCTTGCACAAGCAAGATCCTAGGTTTGATCCCCCCCCAAGTATCATTTTAAGATGAAAATATTAACATCAACCTTTTCTCCAGCAAAATCTACAAATGTAATAATGTGTGAAAACTAACTCTGAAAATTTTGTAAATCTCTTTTTAAAGACTTAAATTTCAGAAAGCAATAGTTTCTCATGTGGGATCATAAAGTCATCAGGCAAGATCCATACTAAGACTATTACTTAAAACTGTGCAGTGTCACAGATTTCCCTTCCAAATATAGAGGAGGATTGACTCTAAATTGTATCTAAGAAATGAGTCTGCTACTTTATGAAAGAGAAGAGAGAACTAAACTAAGGGATGGTACATATGGAAAACCAGATTACACATCTGCCATACTTAGCCCCATAAATTTACAGTAAGTATACAACCTACGATTACAAATGAGAGGTTTATAAAGTTGATAGAACTTATGCATCAGAATGAATGACATCCATCAAACTAGTCATCGTAAGTATTTGCACCTATTGGACATTGGGGCACACACCTTTAATCCCAGAACAGGCACGCAGATATTGGAAAAATTGAGGCCTGACTGGTCTACAGAGAGTTCTAGGACAGCTACAGCTACATAGAGAAACCGTGTCTTAGGGAAGAAAATAGTTTTACAAAAATAAGTATAGTGCCTCCTAAGAAAAATTTAAAGGACAACATACTTAAGTAGAGAACCTCCACAGATTAGGAAACCATCACCCCTGAAATCCTGGTGTTTAAACAACAAAGTAAATCAAGAATTCCTGTGGCCTAAGGTCAAAACAAACTGACAACTGTCTTTCTAAATCTTAGGTGATCCAAAAGCAATATTTTATCATGTACAGGTTCTGGCACGTGGCTTGTTAGCAAGAAGTAGTAGGAAAAACAAACAAAAAGCCCTAAAGATTCTACAGAGAAATGGAAGGGACTGTTTTGGACTGAATGTTCCTAGTAGCAGATGTTGTGAAATGAAGCTCAAATAGAAAGATGAAAGCAGCTAGCTGAATTCCCAGGTCATCTAAAAAATCCAATGTTCAAAGTAGGTGTTTCCATATAATATCTATATTTCCAAAGTAGGTGTTTCCATAAGAGATCTCATCATTTAATTTAAAATACAGCTTCATCAAATAGCACTGTACTTCAACAGCCAGGGCACTTGCCTGTAGGCAAACAAGTGACAACTATACTTAACATAGATAGGGAGAAACAGTCAGAATTAGTGTTTTTCATGACCTCTAGAACCAATGCACTAAAATCAATGCCAGTGTGGGTTCACAAGGAGAGCTCTAAACCCAAGCCATCAACCACATTAGTTTACTTAATGTTAAAGGGAATATAATTTCATAAGGTACTAACTTTAGATTTAAGTATTTGAATTCCCCTTTAAATACAATATGGCCATGTTCTCTTATTTTAATGGTACAACAGTAACAGACCATGTCCAGATCATTTCAGTTCAGATAAGACTAAGTAAACCTCTCCAATACATGGATATATTTTTATTTCTTTTCATGTGCATAATAGAAATAAATTCAAGAAGAGAGAAATATTTTAGCTGCTTTACAGATTCTATTTCTACAACATTTTACAAAATGGGGATAGGGAATTTTTTCCTAGTCAAAACAGTGAATTCAATTTGGAGCTGCAGACTTCACAGTTGATAGTAGGAGAGAAAAATCTACAACACAGTCTATGCTTAAATTTTCTCAGCATAGTCAGTGGTCCCTCACATCATCATGCAGAAAATGTTTGTGTCAAAATTAAGGCTATAATTCTATCTCCTGAGTTTAATTTATGAAAGGGAAAATTTCAGTGTTTGTATAAATGGCATTTTGGCTCTACAGATTATTTTAAAAGCTAAAACTTGAGTGATTACTTTTATTTAGATATCTTCTGTAAGAAGTGCAAAGTTAGTGTCAACCTGAAATGTGTGAAAAAAATCTTGTATAATAATTTTGTGTGTTTTTAGCTTCAGTATAAAGAAAAATAAAGCATTTGCTTCTCTTCCCACAGAATGTATGGCTACTTAGAAATAAGATGTTTTGTTCCTCCTTTTCCAATGTAACTATTTATACCTATTAATAAATGTTGACCGACAGCATTGGGTTTCACACTATAATTTAACCAGCAGAAACACTAACAAACTACTGTAGTTCAAACTATTTTGAAAAGTATGACTGAGAATCAATATTATTGTAATTTTAGAGTTCTTACATAAAAAGCTATTAATTACTATCAACTGCTGAAACAGTAAAACCTAAAATGCTTCACTCATCTCAATTTCAACTACAAATTTTGACTATGTACTTCACAAAAGTAGTTTTACACAGAGCTAGTAAATATCCTTGAGAAATATGAAATTTTGGGGATTTTTTCTTTCTTGAGAGAGAAGTATAAACTATTAAGAACCCAAATAACTACTGATAGGCTTCCCCAACCTCCTAGATGTCTTAGCAAGATCTGTCTGGACCTTATGATAACTACTTTAAAATCAATATTTAAGACTTCCTAACTGAAAGTACCTTTTTCATATATTTTGATCATGTTTTCCCCTCTTGATTCCTCCAAGATCCTCCCCAGCACCCTATCTACAAACTTTACATTCTTTCTCTCTTTAAACCAAACAAGACAACAAAAATAGAAACTTTAAAACCCTGAACTCTTACTAACTTCAGAAGCAAGCAAACACCTTCTCCAGTCCCCAAGGCATTTTCTTTTATCATGCGATCTTTCTAGCACAATGTAAAGCACGAGCTTTAAGGATTAATCAATCCAAAGCAATTTAAGCAAACAGTAGTTATCTAAACTTGAGTGGATTTTTTTCTGAAACTACATTTTCCACATGTTCTTGACAAGTCCTGTAAGGAAAACTGAGAGTTCAGCTAAAAGACATGTATTCTAAACCAAGTTGCTTCTATCGAAATTCAATATTCTATAAGCTAAGGGGGTGGGAACTAGATTGTCTTTCACTACATTCATTCTTAAACTTTTATTGTAAGAGGAAATATAAAATGCTTCAAAGATATATCTGTCCCACATTTAGAAAAGCTTAGATTCAGTTCAAGCTCTACCACCCTCCCCAACAGTCCATTTTGTCATTTATGTAGACTTACATCTGAATTAAGTTTTGAAGGTCTAGTATTCACATTAAAATGTGATTTGTTTGTTTATATTTTATTTCCAAAGATAATTAAATGGTTATGCCTTGATTACAGACTCTAAGGAAATGAAACATGTTTCAAATTCACAAGTCTTAAATTTCAACAGTACAATATACTCAATATTTTCATTTGCTCTTAATTAAGGCAGAGAGCCACAATTAGTTTTGAGAATAAATATACACAGCTAAAATGAATTCTTTCTCTTGCTATGAAAATTACTTAGATTTCTACCTTTAGTATAACTAGATTTTATCAGGAAAGGAGTACCAAGCCAACCACAGAAACTTTGTGTCTCTTCCCAATAATTAAAAATGGCTACTTGGTTAACAATGAAGGAAAGAGATTAGCTTTTATAGTGTCAAAAACAACTAAAGAGGTAAAATGTAAAATGTAAGGCTCAGGAAAGTGCTTGCCAGAGAAGCTTGAGGATGTGACTACACAGGAACTATAACTAAATCACATAGCCTTACCATTTTGACTTTTTATGCACAAAAAATGTCCTGAAGTTAACAAACTTCAATTAGCAAAAACAGTTAGCAATAAGCAGAGCTACAGAAGCCAAAATAAAGATTGGCACATTTGGAGACTTCACCAGAACTATGAACTATGGTGAATTACGTGTTTGTTCTCACATTGGCAGATGTTAGGATTTACGTGCTGGTCTCTTAGGTAGTAATGGGGCCTTGTTACCCCCAACATGGCATCACTTGTGCTAAGGTTTGAGTACTTATAACATGTCAAGAATCTGAGATGAGAATACAAAAGTGAGAGAAATGTATCACCCAATCACACTCAAGGATGCAGGGATCAGTCCTGACTAGACAAGTGTTTTTAAAATACAATTCCACAGAAAATGACACCAGCATAGAGAAAAGACAAAAGTGGCTGATGTAGTGACCGGGCATGAAATAGTGGTTTTTGAACCCCTAACTGTGAGAAATGTTGGCTCCCTTTCCCATAGGCTGTTACTCCAGAGTGACAACCTTTTTACTTTTCTAGCATAATCCTCTTCCCACATTCCCAATTGTTTTATCTAATGAATACCCTAGGGCTTGAGATTGCTCCTTTTTCTTTTTACATTTTTAATTTTATTTCATTTTACATTCCAACCACAGTTCTCCCTCCCCCCCTCCCAACCCCCCCTCACCTCCTACCCAGCCCACTCCTCTTCACGGGTCAAGGCTCCCATGAGGAGTACAATAGGTTGGGGCAGGGCATTAAGACTGAGCATGGCATCTCACCCTAAGGAATGGGCTTCCACAAGCTAGCTCATGTACTGGGATTATACCGTGGTCCTTCTGCCTCTGAGCATGGCATCTCGCCCTCAGGAATGGGCTCCAAAAACCTAACTCATGTGCCAGGTTTGTAACATGGTCCTACTGCCTGGGCTCCTCTGATAGTCCAAGATTCACAACTGTCTCCCACATATGGAGGACTCAGTTCAGTCCCTTGGAGTCTCCACAGTTGTAAGTCTAGAGTTCATGAGTTTCCACAAGCTTGGTTCAGCTGTCTCTGTCGATTTCTCCATCATGATCTTGGCCTCCCTTGCTCATATATTCCCTCTTCCCACTCTTTGCCTGGATTCCTGGAGCTCGACCTGGTTCTTGGTTGTGGAACTCTGCATCTGGTTCCATCAATTACTGGATGAGATCACCCTGTTTCCTGATTGGAGGCTTGAGCACATAGCCGACTGCCTGCAATTTTCCACCTCTCAAGAGTTCCAAGACAAGCAGGTACCAGATTGCCAGCAAGGGGAGAGAGGAGCTTAATGCCTCCTACTTACCTATGACTCCATAATGATCTCTAAGCACACCTCATATTGAAAATTGGCTAGAATGATTTATTTCTTACACAAACTAAACCAAAAACCCCAACTAGTAGTGTGTCCATTATGAAGCAGAACTCTAGCACACTGGTGCATTTGGAACTCATTAGTTCAATCATCCTGAGAACAGGACACTGAAGGCAAGGTACCTTCTTTGTGATGGATTCCACTCTAGCACAGTTCAAGCACCTCACACCTTAATGTCGCAAATGGTTTGCTGTTCTGTTTGTTTGGTTTGGGCCTCGGATGGAGCAAAGCAAAACAAGATGTTATTTGGAGTCATTGAGTTGATTTCAGTGGATAAAAGCACTTGTTACCTAATTAGACTCCATGAGTTCAATCCCCAGAACTCACAGATTAGAAGAACTGACTCCCACAAGTTATCCTCTAACCTACACATGTATATAGCAATATTACAAGCACATCTACCCTCACCCAAAACATACATACACAATAAACCTAATTTAAAGAAAATTTAAAAAGTAAAAGACACTATTTGCAAACAAGTTTTGTAGTAATCAAAGGATATTTTTGTTGCCATGTGTCTGGTGAGCAAAGCACACGCAACAAATTAAGTCTCAAAGGACTGGTCAATAGGAAGCTTGTTGGGATACACAATAGGTTAAAGGGGATGACGGAGTATGTCTCACAAGAGACACACATGGGGGGGGGGGAGAACGCCAGCAAACACAAAGTTACAAGAAATAACAAATGTTGACTTAGAGAAAACCAGTAGCATAAGTTTCACAAGGAAGTTATCTTAAATATGCCAACTCATACCCATGTTCTAAGGTGTGTCCATCATTCTCATTCTCTTAGCCCATATGCTTAAAATTTGTTTTAAAATACCTTCAATACACATAGACTGTGCTTTAAGAATATGAGCAGTGTGACCTGAACAAGGGGAAGCTCATGCATCCCAGACTGATAGCTAGGAAACCAGCATAAGACTGACCCAGACCCCTAAATGTGGATGTCAGTTAGGTGGCCTGGACACTCTATGGGGCCTCTAGTAGTGGATCAGTATTTATCCTTAGTATACAAATGGACTTTGGGACCCCATTCCACATAGAGGGATACTCTCTCAGTCTAGACACACATGGGAGGGCCTAGGCCCTGTTCCAAATGATGTGACAGACTTTAAAGATTCCCCCATGGAAAGCCTCACCCTCTCTGGGGAGCAGAGGGGAATAAGATGGTGGGGGGCAGGGGAAGAGGGGAGGGAGAAGGAGCTGGGATTGACATGTAAAACAAGCTTGTTTCTAACTTAAATGTAAAAAAGGGAAAAACAGCAGTGTTGAGGAAGGGAGGAAGGAAGGATGACAAAAGAATGTATGCACTGTGAAAGCAAAAAGCAGACTATTTAGGGCCAGAGAGACAAGAGGACAGATGAGAATAAAGGAATAGGAGGACCAACAAAAACAAAGTATGTTTGAAAATGCCATAAGGAAATCCAATACTTTCTAGGCTAACTAAAATAATTTTAACTGAAAAAAATACAACCTGAATAGACCATTCTCAGGAGAAATGAACAAGATACACTAGTACTTACTGCAATGGGACTGAAATTAAATAACATTTCAAGTGGACTTACAACTATTCCTAACCAATTCAAGCAATAAATTCATTCTTTTGTAACCACAATGTCAGAAGAAGCATGTTGAAACAATCAAACATCTGGTGCCCTCTTTGTTGCAAAAAGAAAACTCCACTCATTTTGGCAATTTTGAATGCTAGTTTTTATTTACTGCAAATTGTGCAAAGGAACTATAATACTGTGCAGTAGGACAGTTATGTAAATCTAGTATTAAACAATACCATATGTGGCAAATGTAAAGCAGAACGCCATGTCCCTTCAAAACTAATTAACATCAGACTGCAATCCAGTTCTTACAATTCTTAAAGAAACCTGAAGACCATTGGCTCTTGCTTGTTTTTCCCCTCTCTAAATTTCTTGAAAAGTCGAAATCATATCAAGCTTACATAGATGATCAAGATGCATCATATCTTAAGAAAATAGCTTGTATGTTTTCCACTCTTTTATCAATTGGCACCATTAGTTAATACAATATTCACAAGCTGGCTAATAGGAAGTTGCATACAATAAGCTTGTTCAATTAGGGACTAGGTGTACATTCATATTCATAACACAAAGTGATATGCCCTTGTTTTAAAGCAGTATTTTACTTCAAAAGTAAGATAATTTTAAAGACATACAACAGTGAACATTCTTACAACCTTAAACCACTAAAGAACTAATAGAAAACATTTATCAACCACAAAAGTAAAAATGGCAGCAAAGAATATTTCACATTGTCAAATCCTAATTCTGAGGAGTATAATGAGGTGAGTTAGGTAGAAGCATATAGCCAATGGGCCCAGAATTTATAGCACCATGGATTTGGGCAGAACTACCATATGCTGCACCAACTGGATGCCACATGGCAACATTGGGATAATCAGATGCAACAGGAATGTAGGAATCAAAACCTGGCAAAGGTGACCCATAGGTATCTGTCATTACTGGGTAATAGACTGTTCCATGAGGGACAGGTACAGCATCAGAAATGGGAAAAGCATCTGAAATGAAGAAAAGATACGGATATATATATTCTATTGTAAAAACTCACTAAAATGTAACTGAATAGTCATGCAATAAAATTAAATATATCATTAACTATAAGAAAGAACACAGGGCCTGAAAGGAAGGTTGCTCGGTGGGTGGGGACACTTTCTGTCAAGCTTGACATTCTAGTGACCCACATGGTCAACACAGAAAGCTGACTCCTTTCTTGGGTTGTCCTCTGAGTGCTGCATGTGAACCAATGGCATGCATGCATACACATGGGCGCTCTCTCTCTCTCTCTCTCTCTCTCTCTCTCTCTCTCTCTCTCTCTCTCTCTCTCTCTCTCTCTCTCTCTCTCTCTCTCTCTCTCTCTCTCTCTCTCTCTCTCTCTCTCTCTCTCTCTCTCTCTCTCTCTCTCTCTCTCTCTCTCTCTCTCTCTCTCTCTTTCTCTCTCTCTCTCTCTCTCTCTCTTTCTCTCTCTCTCTCTTTCTCTCTCTCTCTTTCTCTCTCTCTTTCTCTCTCTCTCTCTCTCTCTCTCTCTCTCTCTCTCTCTCTCTCTCTCTCTCTCTCTCTCTCTCTCTCTCTCTCTCTCTCTCTCTCTCTCTCTCTCTCTGTGTGTGTGTGTGTGTGTGTGTGTGTGTGTGTATCAGATTAAACTCTTAGCTACTGCTCCAGGACCATGAATAAGTACACCTGCCACCATGCTTCCCACACCATGATCATCAAAGACAAATGCTCTGGAATTGTAAGCAAGCTCCCAATAAACTCTTTCTTTTCTAAGTTACCTTGGTCATGGTGTCTCTTCATAACAACAGAAAAATAACTAAGAAACTCAAAGAATGAGATGGGGCTACAACTCAGTGGTAGAACTAACTCTTGCCTGGAATGCATACATGAAGCCACGTGTTCAATCTGCAGTACAACATGAAGAACAAAACAAATCTTAATAATATTTGCGAATACCACTGGCCTAATGCATGGATCCGTCCCTTTCAAAGAGCCCAATGATCACAAGGCATCTACATATTACATTTTCAGAACTGATAGTCTAAAAGCCTAAGGATTTGATGAAATATCTTAAGACTAAATTATGTACAATAAAATCCAACTGACTTTCTTGCTAGCAATCTCATTATATACTCACCATTTGTTGATGCTTCGTCTGCCTGTGTATCATCTGCTTGCGCTGCATCATTGTACGAATGAGGAACACTTTGGTCTACAAGAGGTTGTTCAGTACAATCTGGATAATTCTCTACATGAAGCTGCTGTGGCTGGTCCTCCTGCACATGTGGCACATAGCCCATGGAGTGCCAGTAGTTGTGATGATAGCACTAGAGCAAGAAAAGTATAAATAAAAACTTGCAAATCCTTATTTTTCTCTATTCTGAAAGCAGGATAATTCCTAGCATAAAGAAATTGGGTCTCAATTCTCATGTGTTGTAACATCTGATATCTACAAAGTTTTTTGAAGCTTAGATCTTTTACACCACCTATAGCTCATGTCTATACCATCTATAGCTCATATTTACACCTAGGGATGCATTTAGGAAATCATATCAAAGAAATCAAAGATATAAACAGACTTGTAAACAAGGATGTCACTTGTAGCCTTATTTTTTTAAAGTAAAAACTAATGAAAAACCTATTTACCAATATGGAGCTAAGATAATTGTTATATATACATGGCAGAATATTACACAGGCAAAAAGAGTCGCACTATGAAATATTTAAAGACAAAAAGGCAGGCTGGAGAGGACTCAGCAGTTAGTAGAGTGCTGATTACTCTTCCAGAGATCCTGAGTTCAATTCCCAGCAACCATATGGTGGCTCAGTTATCTGTGATAGAATCTGATGCCCATGTGCAGACACACATACAGACAGAGCACTCTTACATAAATAAATCTTTAAAAATACAAAAACGCTACTCATGTTAAGTGAAATGGATAGAAAATTACATAATAAGATACAGATTTTGTATATTCAGAACCTATAATATATCACAATTACTAATTCTGCTTTCAATACCTTCGAGTTCCCAAATATACTATAATGAACACTATAACACTATTGCTTTTAATATAAAAAGGAAAAAAGTATTAAGCTACCTATCATTCTAGTATTCCTGTGACATAAAGAACAAGATAAGTTTTTGGGGGGGGGGAGGTTTAAGTTGTGGCTTCTCTGTGTAGCCTTGGCTGTGTTGGAATGCAAAGAGATCTGCCTGCCTCTGAATTAAGTTGTGAGCCACAAACTCCAGGGTTTGGTGTTACTTCTTTGTGGTGTTGTTTTGAGAAAGGGATTCTCTATGTTATTCAATATATCTTTGCACTCCCGAGTTTAAGTGATCCTTCCACCTCAGCTTCTTGAATCGGTAGGATCACAGACATGTACCATAATGCCTGGCTAGGAGAATTATTTTTAAATGGCTTCGTCTTGTGGATTATATACCAAAGTTTTCACATATGAGTGTAATAACTAAAGGGACAAGTAATTATCAACTCTTAAAACTACTATAAAAAATGGAGTTCCAGGACAGCCTCCAAAGCCACAGAGAAACGCTGTCTCGAAAAAAAACAAAAAAAAACCTACTATAAAAAGATAATATGAAATACAAAGATAATATGAAAACACAAATACCTACCCTACTACTCTTAATTTAGATGTGTGTTATATATGAGAAATAAGGTTGTCTGCTGATGTCTAAGATTTCAGGAAAATTATTCCAAGCAGCAACAAGTTACCTTAGCAGTCTCCAAGACACTATTAGTTTAGTATCACTTGCTAAATATTCATCTGCATCATTGTCAGGAAATATGCTATCTGGTTATAGGTTATACTAGTTATAAGTGAAATATATTTAAAGGGAAAAATGATCCCTGGCTCCACAAACCAAAACACCTATAAAATATATCAAGATGTATGTTAGTACCTACACCTATCAAACTCAGGGAAGTGTTTGGCAAGAATATAAAGTTAGTGCTTTAAAAAGTTATTTAAGGCCGGGCAGTGGTGGCTCACACCTTTAATCCCAGCACTCGGGAGGCAGAGACAGGGGCATCTCTGTGAGTTCGAGGCTGGGCTGGACCAATAGCCTCCAAAACAATACAGAGAAACCCTGTCTCGTAAAACCAAAAAAAAAAAAAGTTATTTAAGTATCTTTGAGCTAAGTTTGATTTTCACACAGAATACAGAAATTTCCACAAGATATTAAGTAAACTATTCTGGGTACATGCCACTGAAGGGCTGGTATACGATGTTAAATAAAAAGCTTTCTTGTTGTTTGTCTTTTTAGCCTAATGTATGATTTTGTGCTGCTTAGTGCCCAAACCCCACTCTCTTCAATGTAACACTATTTCATAGTAAGATAAATTGAGCCATGCTAAAACGTAGAAAGTTGACCAACATCACCTTTAGAGGTTTCTTGAGAGGAATAAGACATTTAGACATTCACAGTATTCTTGGCTTTTAAAGTTCAAGAGTATAACTTCTCAAAACAGACTATTTGATATAGATAGGACTTATCAAAAATAATTTTAGTATTACTCCTACCTGCAATCCCAGATTGAAATAGTACTGCAAAACTTTTGTATCTAAAATAAAAAAAGATTTTTATGAGATTACCATAAGCAATTTAAATTGTCACTTAAAAGCATTATTAAAGTAGATATAATCATAACCATCTCACACACTACTGCCATTCTCAATTCTATCTTAAAGGACTATTTTTCAATTGGCATCTTATGACACAAGGTTTAATCACCCAATACAAATTTCATTTCAGTTCTTAGATGTAGATAGATGCTACTGAAATGCTGTTCTGTTACTAGGAAAATAGCTAGAAAAGACATTTTCTCACTTGTCTCATGATGAAAAATTTTCTACAACTGTACCTCAGTTATTAGTACTACTACAAAGTATAAACTTCTGCTGTACAATGTTGAGGAGTGATGCCCACTGAGGAAACTTGGCATACACATTTTGTTTTGATTTGTCATAACATACTACCACCAGAACTCCAAAGAGAGGAGACAATAACTAAATCCAGGAAGGTGAAAATGAATTAACGTATAAAATGATAAAACATCTCCATGTATAGAACTCAACTCAAAAATTTCATAAATAGACCAAAACTAGATGTACACCAAAAGAGAGAATGTTTGTGGCATTTTTTTTGTTTGTATCATTTTAATGTCTGGAATTGACTCCAAGGCCTTGAAAACACTAAACAGGAATTCTACCACTAAGCAACATCCTCATCCTATTCTGAGTATTTTAATTGGATCCATAAGTGTGTTTAACTGTCTGACCTGGGTCCATACATATTCTTTGTTAATATAGACCAATAACAAGGTGAATTTGTGGGAAATGTCTCTTTCATAAGCTATAGCCTCCCTGTGGATATGTACTTGTTGCCATTTTGAAAGAATCAATTTGTATTTTGACTAATATATATGGGTATAAAGCCAGATGCTCAAGCTAAAGAATATAAGATTAGGAAGTAAATTCTTCCTCCAGTATGCATAAACATCAACACAAAAACCTACATACCAATGTTTATGGCAGTATCACTAATAGTCAAAAAGTAGAGACAACCCAAATCCCCACCAACTGATAAATAATAAATGTAGCACAACCATACAATAAGCATTATTCAGCTATGCGTAGTGTGAAATACTGGTACCTATTATAAGAAGGATGAACCTTACAGGCATGCTATTATTCACAAAGGTCAAAATCTGGAACTAGCCTAAATACCTACTGATAGATGAATGGATAAAGAAAAGGTGGTATATATACACAATAGTCTTAATCAGCCATAAAGAATAAAGTCATAATGTGTACTGGAAAACAGAAGGCACCACAGATAGCATGTGAAATAAGCCAGACTTAGACAAATGATTCCTTTTATATGGAAAATCTAGTTTTAAAGGTGTTTTTTTAGAACTTTTTTTTTGGGGGGGTGTTTCCAGAGAGGGTTTCTCTGTGTAGCCCTGGTTTTCCTGCAACTCTCTTTTGTAGACCAGGCTAGCCTCAAACTCTGAGATCCACCTGCTTCTTCTGCCTCCCTGAGATTAAATGCATGTGCTACCATACCTGGCCTAGAACTCTTTTTATTTATTCATGCCAAGGCTAAGACCATAATACCAAGTATATTTGATGCAGTAAAAGAACAAAATTAGAAAATGAAACATTGAAGTAGCAGAGGAATGACTACCACAGAAGGGATCTAAGAAAAGGTGCAAGAAGAAAACGATAGAGTAATGGGTTAGGAATAACAAATTACCACTTCTTTTGCTTCAAGTGATACAAAAGCTCATAGTTCCAGCCTGACAAAAGGAGAAAGTAGATATGTAATCCCACCACTAGTTTAGGAGCTATTAGCACTAATAGCTTATAGGAGGGGGATAGTTAGTTTTCTTTATGTGACCCCTGGTAGCCTGATCACAAACCAGAGGAGGCTCTAATCCCAACAATAGCTGGGCAACACAAACTGGATTCTATGAGGAAAGAAGAAAAAATTAAACTCAAGATTGTGTAGAAAGGGATGGAAGGTTGAGTGGTGCTAAGGAGAGAACTTGAGGGGGGTGAATATGTTCAAAAGGCACTTTATGAAATTCTCAAAGAATTTATAAAATAGATTTTAAAAGAGAACTGGAATATTCAATTAAATACTGATCATAGAGAAAAAACAAGTGAATCACTAATTTAAAGAACACTGATGAACTCAAACACTCATGCCCAGTTTAAGCAGCATTCTATAAATTACATACTACCAATTATAATTGTATGTAAAACTAATCCAAGGTAGAAAGCAAAAGAGCAGAGAAATGATGGTATCTAGGGGGAAATGCGGATGCACCAAGGGAATGACAAAGAGGTAACATAATTAACTGTGGGGAAGGGCTAAGAGATAGCTCACTAAGTATATGCCATGCAGGGATGAAGACATAAATCCAAGCACTAGAACTCATGTAAAAAATGCTGAACACGGTGTATACACTTGCCAGCTCAAAATTGGAAAAGCTAGGGTAGGAATTGGGCTACCTGGCCGGATAGCCTAACCTACTTGTTAAGTTCTTGGGCAATGATATGTAACCTCAAGAAAAACAAAAGGGATGCTTGAGGAAACAGAGGTTGTTCTCTAGCTTGTACATACACGAATATGCATGTGCAGGGAAAACTTGGTTTTTAACCAATCATTGTAAAGAAATGTTTAAATAAACATACTCCTAACTAAATTCACTATATCCTTGTGCTGAGAGCATTTAAATCTTTTCTTAGTTATTTTGAAATATATAATATATACATCCTACTGTACAAATACAACACCAAACATAGTCTTCATATATAATAATATGTAATTCTGTACCAATGAGATAAGAAGTATGTTTCCATACTTCACAAATGAGTCGAGACACGCAATATTTGTCAATTTGACCTGGCTTATTTTTACCAAATAATGTATGTCTTCTAGATTAACCCACAGATTATAGAATTTTGTCTTTTATGCAGTGAAGAATATTCAATTGTGTATATATACTCATTTTCATTATCCTTTATGGTTGGGGGGGTCTACTAATAAATACAATTTACCTTTAAAGCCACCAAAAACAAGATGGGTTAATTTCCACTCAGATGCACAAAAAGAACAATGAGAAAATATGTGATAAAACTATAAAGTCAAACATCAACAACATAATCTTGCTGGCAATTATATTATCAATAAAAACAACAATGTTTATCTGACTATCTTCACAATAAAATGCTAGAAAAACAGAAAATCAACATTATGTGATGGTTGAATACTACTTGGCACCAAAGTTGGAGAGAACAAAGGAGTCAGGATTTAGATATATGGTTAAATTAGGTAGAAACAATAATAATACTTACAAAATATGAAACCAAGAAGAGGAATAAATGTTTTGTGTTGACTGGTGAAAGACAAGAGGGAAAAGATGAGCAATTTCATTAGAGACCATTTATGTTTGAAAGTTAAAAAGCTAAGTGAAAATGTCTAGTAAGTAACCAAACATTCTGAGCAAAGGCTAGTAGATTTAGAATAGACTGCAAAGACATACTGTATGGAAAAAGAACAGAACAAAGTTGGAGAAAATTGTGTTTACTAGGTTAGTGGCTGGAAAGAACTCAGAAAAAAAGCAGCAACTAGAAAAAAATCTCAGGGAAATGTAAGCAAGAAAGTATAAGCAAGCTGCTTACAACTTTCAACTACAATTCTCTCTGAGTAGTACTACCAAACTCAGGGGCAACAAAGAACTTCCAATGGAAAAAAACAACACAGCTGGCTTTTTAAGGAAGCAGAAATACATGGTTGGCTGATATTCAAAGCAGATCAAATGAATAGATGATTTCTCCAGGTCCTCAAAATTCGGTAAGTACAACAAGTATCAAAGTTACTTAAATAGAAGAAAGTTTTTAATACTAGCTCCAGATTTGAAATGAAATACTTGAGAAAAAACACAGCTATGCATTTATGAATCTCATTCAAGAAAGACATGGAGCTATAAGAGGGGAGCAGAAAAGTCATGATTTGATCCAACTATCCACTAGTTAAATATGTAGAAAATACTTGCACTTGCTCCTTGTTAGTCATCTAGAATTTTATGTTCAAGTCACTCCCGTTTAGTTCTGTACCCATTAATCATCAAGAAAATGTTCTCGATTCAAAATACACTACCTTGGGGCAGATCACTTCCACTTGGATCACAGGAATAAGGTGGTGGTGGTGGTGGTGGTGGAGGTGGTGGAGGAGGTGGTGGTGGTGGTAGTGGTGGTAGTGGAGGTGGTAGTGGTAGCAGAGGTAAGCCTGAAGCATCTCCTGCTTCAAGAGAAGGAGGAGGAGGAGGAAGAGGAGGAGGCGGCGGTGGAAGTGGTACTGCCACTGCTGCTGCTGCTGCTGAATCTGAAGGCTGAATACAGGCTGTAGTATAGAAACACAAGAATTATTAAGGGCAGGATGGCAATAACAAAGAAACAAAACGTGAAATAGCAATGGACAACTGTTGCCCCCTATAAAGCAGTATCTGACCTGCTTCTTTGCCACATGTAATCACAGAATTCTCTTGAGTTGACTTAAAAAACAGACACTTGGATGTTACCCCTTTAAATGTAAATTTAAAGAAATTTCCAGCAACCTGTCATTGGTGGTCAAATCATAAGACACAGAAGTCAAGAGAGAAACTACCACAGTAGAGATTTTAGCAACCTTACAAATTCTCCCAGCAGCCTCAGAAGAATGTAGGAAATTTTAAAACATTAAGTACCATTTCAAGGAGACACAGAATTTAAAATGGCCTAGATACAATATTTTACCCTTGTGCCATTCTATATCTATTACTATAGTTTTAAAAGATTCATCTAGGAGTTTCAGTTTTGAGACAAAATTGATATGTAATTATGTTTGCATATTAAACTTCTATGATAGTAAACAGTATGTTTCCAACCTAGTAAAAATACTTACATGCATTTAATATAGTAGTTAAAAATCTGATATTTTCACAAATGCTAAATGATACAATCCTTCATATTTTTTGAATTTTAGTCAATTTAGAAATTAAAGTATCAAACCTCAAATCTGTACTAGGTACATGATATTTACAACACTAGAAGGTATAGAAATTTTCATCTCATCATTCAATAAAGGATTAAATTCAGAGCTCTAACAGGGAGTTTAGCTTAAAAACAATCTACAATCTGAATTTGTTACTCTGGAAATTTAGCAAGAAAGGATCTACTGTATAGATAAAAAGAATCTCATGTGATTACTGACAGCACTCAAAATGCTTTATATATGTTCTCCCAATTTTCCCATTTTAAAAAATAGTTGTATATCTTGGCTAAATAAGGCTTCTGCATAATCTATTTTCAATCTCTTGGCTTTCGTTTTATTTTTATTTTATGGGGAACGACATATTCAATACTTCTATCAGGTCTTGTACCAATGTTTCTAATATTTTATTTTTTGTAGTCTAAAACCCAAACATCATTTTTTAATATATTACTGCCATATATAATTTTTTGAAAAATTATTTTACTTATGTGTATTGTTGTTTGCATATATATATATCTGTGTACCACTTGCATGCCTAGTGCCCTTGAAGGCCAGAAGAGCATCAGATCTCCCTGCGAGTCACAAATGGTTATAAGCCATATCATGTGGGTTCTGACAATCAAAGTTAGATCTCCTGGAAGATCTGTTAAGTGCCCTGAACCACTGAGCCATCTCTCTAGTTCCCCATCAATATTTCATGATAATACAGATATCCTCTATGCTACTGAGTTCAGTATCTACTTGTCACATGTGACTTTGTTCACTAAGCATGATGCTGACTGACAAACCAAAGGTTTATTTAATGGCAACTTAATTCTAATTGTCACATGAAACTTATTACCTTGTTTTCACTACACACCTGCTGTAGATGTTAAATAAAAGATGATTGGCCGATAGCTGGGCAGGAAGAGAGCCAGAGTAAGAGAATTCAGGGAAAAGGAAGGGCAGAGACAGAGATTCTGCTGCAAACCCTGAGAAGCAAGATGAGAATGCTGTACTGAGAAACGATACCAAGCCACGTGGCTAAACAATAATAAGAATTAGGGGTTAATTTAAGTGTAAGAGTTAGCTAGTATGGAAAAACAAAAAACCCAGGATAGCCAAAACAACCCCATACAATAAGGATCATCTAGGGACATCACCATCCCTGACTTCAAGCTCTACTATAGAGCTACAGTAATGAAAACAGCTTGGTATTGACATAAAGGCAGACAAGTGGACCAATTGAAACAATCTAGATGCCCCTCAACTGAATAATAGATAAACAAAATGTGGTACATCTACACAAGATTACTACTCAGAGGTAAGAAACAATGACAAACTAAAATCTGCAGGCAAATGGACAGAACTAGAAAAAAAAATCATCCTGAGTGAGGTAACCCAGACACAGAAAGACAAACACGGTATGTACTCACTCTTAAGTGATACCAGACACAGAGCAAAAGATACCCAGCCTACAATCCACAACCCCAGTGAAGCTATAACACTCTTCCAGAAACAGATGGAAGCAGATGTAGAAATCTACAACTAACCATTGGGCCAAGCTCCTGGAGTACAATCGAAGTGAGGGAGGACCCATAATATGAACAAAGAGGTCAAGACCATGATGGGGAAACCTACAGAATCAGTTGATTCAAGTTAGTGAGAGATCACTGACTCACATCTGACAAAAGGAACCTACATAAGACCAAACTATTATGTGAGGCCACTGGCAGTGGGTCCCAGATCTAACTCTAATGCATAAATTGACTTAGAAAAGCCCATTGGAGATATACCTTGCTCAGTCTGGACACAGGGGTATGTAGGGTGGAGAGGTGCCTTGGTCCTGCCTCAAGGATATGATGGGACAGACTTAGTAGAATTCCTAGAGGACATCTTACCCTTTCTGAGAAGCAGATGAGAGGTGGGGGGGGGTAAGTGGGGGGAAAGCGGGAGGAAAGGAGGGAGGGGAACTGGGATTGGAATGTAAAAGCTAAATTAATAAGAAAAGATAAAAAAGAGTAAGCCAATAACAAGCCTGAGCTATTGGCCGAGCATTTATAAGTAATACAAGCCTCTATGTGGTAATTTGGAAAGCACCTGCTAGGTATTTGGGACCAAGTGGCTCCAGGACAGGAAATGTCCATTTACACACATCTCTAGAAGACTCTTCAAAAAGGGTTCATAGTTATACTAACATGCTATCTTTATGCTTGAAAACTCACTTCCACTTTAGCAGGTTAGAAAATCTTGGTTCAAAAACAAGAACAACTTAAGGCAGAAAAAAAAAAGAAAACTTTGGTTCACAAGTCCTTTGACTATTTTTTTTTTACATTTGCTTGTTTTGGTGGGGATGGTAGTTTGGCATGCCATACACAATTTTCAGGAGTCTGACCTCTCCTTCTACCATGTGGTTTCTTGAACTCAGGTCATCAGGCTTGGTAGCAAGCCTGCTCGTCAGACTTTTTTCTATATTGTAAATTTCATTTTTTTCCCACATAAAGTATTTCTGTCAAAAGTTTGTTGATTATAATATTTCCTTATAGCCCACAGGCTCTTTACATATTCTCAAAAGACTTAAATTTTTACTTTGAAGTCTAGCAATTTTTGTGGAAATTTTTTATGATTTATTTATTTTTATTTTATGTTCATTGGTGTTTTGCCTTCATGTATGTCTGAGTGAGAATGTCAGATTACCTGGAACAGGAGTTACAGACAGTTGTAAGCTGCCATGTGGGTGCTAGAAAATGAACCTTACTGAAATATCCTATTGTTGAATGCTCTGAGTTAATATTCTTATTTCTTCAAGGTACTATTATGCATGTTTCAATGTTCTCATGTTTTTTAGTTTCAGTAAAGTTTTCTAAATTATACATTTTCGTATTTGTTCCATTCCCTACAGTATTCTCCAGGTATTTCTATCATTATTTCATCTCTTTTAGTGGTTAAACGCTTATAAGAAATCACTAGTGACCCAAGTTTGATCCCTGAAATTCACATAAAAGTGAAAGGAAATAATCGCCTCATTAGTTTCCTTCAGCCTCAGCATGCTAACTCCTCCCCATATATATACATTATGAAAAATAAAAACTTAGAAAACAACTCAAAGTTGTAGAAATAATACAAGAGCTTTAACTATCCACTGAATAGCAAATGGCAGGTGTAAAATCTTATCAGAATCCTATTACAAAAAACAAAACCAATAGAATTTAAATTCAAATCTAGTATTTGATGACAGTGCAAGTAACTTAATTATTTCTTGAAATTACAATACCATATAATAGCCATGTTAATAAGTACATATTCATGAGTAGAAAAAGAGATTTCCAATGAAAACAAACACTAATAACCTACTTTGACTGTCTTGTGCTGGTGGAGATTCAAAGACAGGCTGTATGGCATTCTGTTCGGAAACATCAGAGGTACTAATAGTTTGATTATCTCCTGCACAGCTAGGTAAGACTGGAACTGGAACATGGCTGGCCCAGGAAACTCTAATTGCTGTAGAATTTTCTAATACCTATTAAGTGGAAGAAATATTAAAATTCTTGTTTGGTTTCTCAAATAGTATTTGTTTCTTCTCTGAACCTAATATCAGAAAATTTTAATCTTTCTGGTGATAAAACACGGAAAAGTCAATCTGTATTCAAACCATATACTTTTTTTGCAGGATCTCTGACTACATTTAGAGCTATCTTTCTGTAAAGATAATACATTAATATCAAAACAATAAAGACAAAAGTTGGGTATGGTAGAAAGAGTCCCTCCTATTCTCTCTCTGACTAGTTGCCATCTTCCTAAATCTTCTTGGTCTCCACAGATTTGTAATATATATTCATTTTCACACACACACACACACACATATATATATACACATATATATACTTATCCACATAAACATTTAAGTAGAAGAGATGCTTTGTATTTAAGTGTAATTGAATGACTCAATGAAACTAATGTTTTTTCCCGATTTGGGCACAGAGTTCTTTCAGAGCATTCTACTTTCTGAGGGCAAATGGTATACAGAAGTGTGTATAAATATAATTAACAAATAACAGGCTAAATGGTGGTGGTGCATGCCTTTAATCCCAGAACTTGGGAGGCAGAGACAGGTAAATAGATCTCTGAGTTAGAGGCCTGCCTGGTCTACAGAGCAAGTTCCAGGACAGCCAGGGCTACTCAGAGAAACTGTCTTGAAAAAACAAACAACAAACAAACAAACACACAAAAAAATCAAACAAACAAACAAGAGTAAAAAAACAAATAACACTGTCTTTACCGGAAGGCTCCATTTCTCTTCATAGTACCAAATATGGCTCTTACCCAGTCTGATCAACTAAAATGACGGAAGTCATCAATCAATTCCTATTAGAGTCCAGTCAATCTTTACACTGCTTGACCTCTTAGAAGGGAGCCATATTTACTGCTCCTGGCAATGTTCTTGTTCCAGAGCTTCAATACATTCTTCTACTTTTGCTGTTTCCTCAACTGTTCCTTTTCTACTCATTTTCAAAAATTTGGTTATCTACCGGCTGTGTTCTAAATGGTGGTCTTGCACACTTTCCTTTTCCAGCCCGTTTATGAATGACAACTTCCAATTTATATTTCAACAAATAAGAGACTTGAAAAGTAATTTATTATTGACCGATTCATAAGAAGTTCACAACAGAGCATACAACAGTGTCTGAAACAGTAGACACTTAAGTGACTTGCTAAATAAATGCATTAATCACTATGCCAGGTGGAACTCAAGGCACAATAGAAAATTCATTTTCTTGTATTTAGCTCACTATAAATGACTGCTTGGTAATACTATGAAGATTACCTTCTGGGGGTAGTTGTATGAGGTAACTGTGTCTTGAGGCACAGAACATGGTCCATTGTCCTGAAGAGACTTTAATAAATACAGAAATATAATTGAATAAAGGGATACCAAGAAACCAAAGGCAATTTTCACTCTTCTTCCTATCCTCATTTATAGTCTCTCCAGGATCATCCTCAGCTCTGTAGTGGCCTGGAGGACTACAGAAATGATTGATGTGAATCCAGCTTGCCTCCTCCTTGAGAACCCTCTTACCCATCCCCAGCCCATCCACAATCTTTTCTGTCAGACTCAACCTTAGAAACACTTTCTACCTAGTACCCCCAATAGGTACTTGGCAGGTGATTTGCACTATCCTTCCCTTCCTTGTTCTCCATTACCATCTCCATATTCCATTTACACCCTCAGACAGGTTCCTTACAGATGCCCCTCCTCCCACTTCAACTCCATTCATTGGAGCCTCCACCTCAGACCCCTAATCCTTCCATCCCTGTCTCCAGATTATTCTTTGCCTCACTTCAACCTACCTGCAGGATCACTTTTTCCCACCATACCTCCAATTAACTCCCTAGTAGCCTCATGTCTCGATGTAGACAGGATACACTTCTCTCTTTCCTAAGTCCTGCCCTATCAGCCTTTACTCCCAGTCAACCCTCCATTCCTCTCAGCCAGACATCAACCTGTAGAAGCACTCAACAGGGAACAACCCACAGCTACAACACTTTTCCTAATGCCCAGAGCCAACAAAGACAAGACCTGGTATCAACACCTAGAATCACCGCAATCATGCCAATGCCAGATGACTAGGCACTAGCACAAAAGCAAAAACATTAACAGCCAAGACTATGCCTCCATCAGGACCTAGGAACCCTACAGTAGGACCCAACAAATGCAAGATAGCTGAAGACCAAGACAAGGATTTCAAAACAGCTATTATAAGCAAAATAGTTACTTTGAATAACTTCCTTAATGAAGTCTGTGAAAAAGAAGTTTAAGAGAAATAAAAGTAAAAAAAGAATTACTAAGAAATACCTGAACTGAGATAAAACTGGAAATTAAAAATCTTGTAAATTAAGCAAAACCTCAGAGGTAAACATCAACAGAGAACAAGGCATAGAAGAGAATCTCATGGGTTGAATACAACAAGGAAGAAATAGATATTTCAAAGAAAATATTACATTGAAAGCTCCAGGTACAAAACTTTCAGGAAGTTTGGGAAATTATGAAATGACCAAATCTATGGATAATAGGAATAGAAAGAAGAGGAGATACAGGTCAAAGGCACAGAAAATACTTTCAACAAAAACCACACAACTGGACCTGCAAAGAAATTTCTGAATGACACATAATAATCAAAACACTAGACAAACAGAAGGAATATTAAAAGCTACAAGGAAAAGGAACAAGTAACATATAAGGGCAGACCCATGAAAATAACACCCAACGGAGACTCTAAAAATCAGAAGGGACTGGACTGATGTTCTACAAACTCTAAAATACCACAGATGCCAACCCAGATTACTGTAGTCAGCAAAACTATCAATCACAAAACACAGGGAAAATAAAACTTTCCATAATATAACCAAATTTAGGTAGCATCTGTCTAGCTAATCAGTTCTTCAGAAGGTGCTAGAGGGAAAACTACATCCTAAAGAGGTTAACTACACCCAAGCAAACAGAGGGAACAAATATTTCCAGACTAGAAAATCAAGAGGGACAGAAAACTACATAACAAGATAACAGGAATCAACAAACACTTGTCACAGATAACTCCCAATCATCATAGTCTTAATTTCTCCACACCCCAAAAGATACCAACAGAATGGATCAGAATACAGGATCCTTCTTTCTGCTGCATTCAAGAAATATACACCTTGACATAAAGGAAAGACATCACCCTCAGAGTGAAAGGATGGAAAGATATTCCAACCAAATCAAAAAAAAAAAAAAGAAGCAAGCTGGTGTTGACATTTAAATATCTGACAAAATAGATATCAGACTACAACTAATCCTAAGAGATATGGAAGGACACTATATACTAGAGAGGGGGCAACCAAGAATATATTCTTAACATCTAAGCAAGAAACATACTATAGCATCTAAGTTCATAAAAGTAACACTACAGCTTAAATCACATATTGACCCTCAACACACAGAGAGCAGATTTCAATGCTCCAATATCACCAATAGACAGGTCATCCAGACAAAAACTCAACAGAAATGCTAGAGCTAAATAATGTCTTAAATCAAATTTGCCCCCACTCAAAAAAAGAATTTACCATCTCAGCATCTTGTGGGAAATTCTCCAAAATAGATAACATAATTGGACACAAAGCAAGCGTCAACAGAGACAAGAAAATTGAAATAACATCCTACATCCTATCTGACAACCATGGATTAAAGCTGGATTTCTTGAGTAGTGGTGGCTCATGCCTTTAATCCCAACACTCCAGAGCCTGAGGCAGGCAGATCTCTGAATACGAGGCCAGCCTAGTCTACAAAGCAAATTCCAGTATAGCCAGAGCTATTACTCAGAGAAACCCTGTGTCGAAAAACAAAACAAACAACAAAAAAAATTAAAGCTGGATTTCAGCAACAACAGAAAGTATACAAACTAATGGAAATGGTGTTCACTACTATACTGGTCAAGATATAACTTAAGAAAATTAAAAGCTTTTTGGAATTGAATTAAAATGCTAAAAACATACCAAACCTATGAGACAAAATGAAAGTAGTTTTAAAGAGACAAAGCACTAAATGGTTGGAGTGGGACTGGGAAGAGAGCAGGGAGGGGATACTGTGGCCTGGATGTAAAATAGTTCTCATATAAAAAACTTAATGGCACACTTGAAAGATCTAGAAGAAAAACAGTCAAAAGGAGTCAATGGCAAAAAATAATTAAAATCCAAGGCTGAAATCAATAGACCAACAATAAAAATAAAACCGATACAAAGAATCAATGAAATTAAAAGTTGGTACATTGAGAAAATCAGTAACATAAACCCTTAGTCAAATTGAAAAAAGCATGTAGAGGAAAGTTCCAAGTTACAAAAATTGAAAGCAAAAAGGGGGCGGGGCAGCACAACAGACATCTAGGAAACTATAAAATCATAAGAACACAAGTTTAAAAATTTATACTCCAAACTGGAGAATCTATAAGAAATACATATACAACCAACCAAAGTTAAATCAAGATTTGATGAACAATTTCAACAGACCCACAACCCATAGTGAAACGGAAGGAGTGACTGAAAGTCTTAACAACACCCAAGCATGCAGGGAAAGACAGGTTCATCACAGAATTCTATCAGATCTTCAAAGAATGCCAATATTAAACAAATTAGTCTGCAAAATAGAAATTAAAGGAACATTGCCCAATTCTTTTCAAAGTGTCACAATTAGTCTGATACCTAAATCACACAAAAACTGTACAAAGAAAGAAAATTTCCCTAACATGGATGTATATATTCTCAATAAAATACTTGGGAACTGACTCAAAAAAAACAAATAAAAAAGATCACTGAACTCAAATAAGGTTTTTCCTGGAGATTCAGGGATGGTTCAACATATGTTAACAGAAAAAATGGAATTCACCATATAGACTCAGACAAAACCCACAAAATCATCTCATTAGATGCAGAAAAGGCCTTTGAAAAAACTCAGCATCCCTTTCTATGGTAAAATTCCTGGAGAGACTAGAAATACAAGGTATAGATCCCAACATAATAAAGAGATTTACAGCAAGCACATAGCCAAAAGCAACCTAATTGGAGAAAACCTCAAAGCTATTTCACTAAAAATCATGAACAAGACAAACATGTTCACTCTTTCCACACCTATTCAATATAGTACTTGAAGACTTAAAGCAATGAAACAACTGAAGATTAAGGTGAACAAATAGGAAAGGAAGATGTCAAAGAATATTTACAGGTAATATGATTTTATACATAGATTACATTAAAAACTCCACAAAATTTCTGTAGGTGGTAAATACTAAACAAAGTAACAGGATACAAAAGTATCACAGAAAAATCAGTAGCTTTACTACTTATGTAATAAAAACTTTAAGACATTAAGGAAAGAAATATAAGACAACTGAAAATGGAAAGATCTCCCATGCAAATGAAATCTGTGGGATTAATGAAAGTGAAAATGACTGTCCAACCAAAAGCAATCTACAGATTCAATACAATTCCCATGAAAATTTTACAGAAACCACAAGTTTTCAGCTTCACATGAAAACATAAAAAAACAAAAAATAGGGCATGGCTCAGTGGTTAAGAGCACTGGCTGTTCTTCCAGAGATCCTGAGTTCAATTCCCAGAATAGTTATGGTGGGGGAAAGTTTTTTAATTAAAAGGAAGAAAGGAAAGCAAAAAGGATAAAAATTATATATTAGGGTTTTCAATCCCTTCCTATGATGTATTTCATAAAACATAAAAGCTAACATTTAGTACATGAAACTACTAGTTAAAAATAATAATTCAAAAATGTAGTCATTATATAAGTTCTTCAAATGTCAAGTTCTCCAAGATATACATGATAGGAATGTCTTTTTTGTTCCAGCATTACAAAACATAAACCACATACAGAAAGAAAATTACTGTTTCTCTCATATACGGAAACTAGAATAATAAACTTTTTGAACAAAAATTTAAAAAGACCTAAAAGAAGAGGATGGATGATTGGGGAATAAGGGCCCAGAGGCAAGAAAGGAGAAAGTGGGAAAGAATAGACATAAGCAATGAATGATACATCCATGCATAGAAAAGTTAGAACTCCATAATGTGTATAAATAATATATGGGGCACACCTTTAATCCTAGCACTTGGGAGGCAGAAGCAGGCGGATCTCTGTGAGTTCGTGGTCAGTATGGTCTATAGAGCTAGTGCCAGGACAGCCAGAGCTGTTATACAGAGAGAAACCTGACTTGAGAGAGAGAGAGACAGACAGAGAGAGAGAGAAACAGAGAGAGACAGAGACAGAGAGAGACAGAGAGACAGAGACAGAGACAGAGAGAGAGACAGAGACAGGCAGACACAGAGACAGGCAGAGAGAGATAGAGACAGGGACAGAGAGACAGCAAGAGCTAGGTGTGCACCGAGATTTGGGGTAGGAGTAATCCCGAAGCATAATGTAGCTCAACTAAAATAGAATTTGGTAACTAGATATAGGATACTGTAGTACAGCAAAACTATGTTTAGTGTTAGTGGTTTAAAAAATGAATCAGTGATGTTCTGATTTTTTAACAGAAAGGTATTCAGGACAGTATTAGTAGTGTATAGACTAGAATAAAGGGGAATAAGAGATCTTGCATATAGGAATCACAAGGTTGAGGATATAGTTACTCCAAACCTCAGCAACAGAAGAGACTAGAAGCTCCACAGCATTACTCAATTAAGATCCCTTCAATTTTTAATGATTTTATCAACTTTTTTATAGACATAAAATCTCTGTATACATTGTGATGTAAGTCTCAAAACAAGAGCTAAAATGATACAATACATTAAATCTCACATTTGGATGAAATTATTTCATGGAAGTTTATGGATCCTTCACCAGCACTTGATACACTAAAAGAATCAACTAGGAGAAACACAAGAAAAATAAAGCAAAGCAAATCTAAGTAGGGCATCTATTCTACAAAAAAGGATTATCAATATGGCTACTGATATACAAAATCTAAATAAATTAATCTCTCAGGTAAAAAGTCATGAGCCAAAAACTATATCTGTGCAAGTAAATAATTCTTAGGGCCTAGCAGTGTTGGCACACACCTTTAATAACAGCACTTGGGAAGCAGAGGTAGGTGGATCTCTGTGAGTTCGAGGCCAGCCTGGTTTATACAGTGAGTTTCAGTTCAACCAATCTATATGGCAAGATCCTGTCTCAAAACACCAAAACAAATAAGAAAACAAAAAATGTAGAACACAAAAGCTACTTTTAAAGAACTATTCATCAATTCCAACTTCAAGTATGGCCAAAGAAAGGAAAACTTTGGAATAATTAACAGTCTCAGTAAAGTCCCCATATCAGAAGCCAAAAACACAATGTAATGTATGACCTCCTGATCTCAGAATTCCACAGATCAGTATTTTTTTTCCTTCTATATTCCTATAGTCCAAGAAGGAATTTTCTTACAATTTTGTATCTACTCTATGACTAAACTGGGATGCAGGCATGGTATAAAGACTTTAACATGCGAGAAAAATTATATATCCATTATCTACATATGACCTACAAATACTGAGATTTGCATTTGGTTACACTGAGTGGCACTTTTGGGTTACCTTTTTTGGAATACAAGCTAGTAGTTTGTCTTTGGGAAGGAGATAACATTGAACAAAGTTCTTATTTTTAGTCCTATCAAGGTATTTCAACTTTCTGCTTTCTAGACAAGCGGGATCTGCTCTGGGAGTAAAATGAAGGATAATGGTTAAGTGTCCTCTCCAATGCCAATACACCATTTAGTTTATGTCTTGCAGTCATGAATGAAGGCCCCATCAGATTCCCTATGCAAACTCTCCTACAGGTCTCCACTGTGCCTTAACTAAACAGTATATGAGCTATTCATATTTATTATTATTAAATACCTACCAAGTTTGCTGTAGATACAGTTGTGGTATATACACTGGAAGTTTCATAGCCTTGTTCTAGAGAATATAGCCAAAGCAAAAAATGAGCATTATTTTAGTTTGATATTCCACAAACAATGAAAAGTATCGAAATAAATCTAGATCTCACTGACCTGAAGAATAAAGATAATCTCCATGGTATTGTCCTAAAAAAAAAAGAAATGCGTATACACAGATCTTCTAAATTTTGCAGAGCAAAATGGCCAGTAATTGTTTTTCCTTAAGTTTTATGGGCATATTTTCAAAACTAAATTGCATACATGATTGCAAGCGATTTGAGCCATACTGATAGTCAGCAGCAACGTAAGCTGTCATCAGTACAAAATTCTGCTCAAAACTGCTAATTGTAAAGAATATTTTACTCTACATAAAACTAGCAGAGACAATATTAGAAGTATCTTATTCATGAAGTCACTCAAAATACCTCATACTTCTTTACCTTCCATAATTTTCCAGAATTAGTTCAACAGTAATGTGTCATTGACTGGTAAACAAACAAATTCCAAAGGAATGTAGCTATATTAAGTACATATAGATGGCTTTAGAGACAAATCTTAGTTTGGGTATATATGAGGAATGGGGTGTCTTTTGAGAGATGATGAAATTGTAGAGCTGATTATGTGAATGCACACACATACAAAAAACACTGAACTGTATACTTGGAGCATTTTGGGTATGTAAATTTAATCTCAACTGAGTTAAATATGTGTCTGTTTCATTATCAAGAGTATAGCCTTTGTCCTATTATTGGTTTCTGAACCTCTATTTCCTCATACATAATACAGAGATGGCATATTTCCCATAATACCATGAAAACTGCCATTACATTTTAATAGTTTACTAGAATGGATGATATATAGCATTCAATAAATGTTAAGACATTTTGAAATCAAGTAAGAACTCTTTGGGTTATATGGGCTCTGGGATTTGAACTCAGGTCCTCGGGTTTGCCTGGAAAGCACTTTATCCACTGAAGCATCTCACCATCCCTACCTAATCTTATACTTCTTTCAAGTTACCAGAAAGGTGTGGAACACCAAAAATAGTACTTCCAAGTTCTGATATGCAAATGCCATTGACAATCATCATTTCAAAAATTACACAGCACTAATTTACTCACCACTGTCACACTGGTCATTGCTGTCTTCTGAATTCAAACTTGGTTTACATGAGCTATAGCCCTGACTTGCCATACAGTATCCTGAAGTAACAGGAACCATTGCAGGGGAACCGCCATTGCTCTGTACCAAAGAAAGACACATACATATGGAATTCTTCCAGTATTAGTTAGAGAAAAGGCAGAGAAACTAAATTTTGAGTTAATATGATAAGAGACATATGTGGCTATTTTAGTAATTTGGAATTCAAAATAGGTGAAGCAATGAAAGAGAAAATGTTAGCTCACATATATACTAGACTGTCTAAACCTCTAGCAGCTCTAAAACATCTCTTTAGTTAAGAAGCTCTAATGGGATGGCTTCATAATTTGAAGATTAGTTGTTCATACAAAAAATGTAAAAATTAGGGCTGAGGGTATAATATAGGGGTAAAATACTTTACATATGCAAGGCCTAATTTTGATCTTTGCAGTGGGATGAAGGTGGAAATCATATATATAACATTTCTCCATACAGCCTTGAAGAAAAGAAGCACCTTTTTCAGTGAAGCTTTCACCCACTTACAGGTAATGTTGAATAAGCAGTCTCATTCCCTTCTTCAAGTGCATAAAATGTAACAGTTTCTTCTGGAGCAAAACCATACTGGCATTCTTTATTCATACAATGCATCTGACGGTGGCTACGCCTAAAAGAACTTAGTTTGGAAACCAAAATGGGAAATAAGTTAAAATATGGCAGTATTTTGCTTCTAATTTCTCAGTGAAAGACAAATTATCTCAAAACAGAAGTTTTTGGTTTTAATTTCTGTACACTGGTATTGTGTTTGCATGTGTGTCTGTACACTATGTGTGTAGGATACCTGGAACCAGAGTTAACAAATGGCTGCTAGCTACCAAGTAGGTACTGGGAATTGAACCCTGTTTTCCAGAAGGGAAGCCAACATTTACATTTCCTAACCCATCTCTCCAGCCACCAAAGTGAGGTTTTAGAAAGATGGCATACATCATCACTGCTTAGCAATAAAACCACACACACCAATTTCTTTCTCAACTTTTAATACTTCAAATACTTACCGAGACCTATATGAGACATTATCATAGCTCTGGCAGCACCGTCTACCTGGGCCAGGGTAAAACCCAACTTTAGGACTCGGCATGTTTTGCCTATTGATTACGTGAGATGAATCCCTAAGAATAAAGAAAAATAATTATTTAACTCTTGCAATCTCAATACTTAAGTAGAATTAACATAGTTTCCTGAAAACATTCAACTACAAAGTCTTTTACAATGGTATTGGGCCTATATAATACTAATGGAGACAGAAGCATTATTTCATACAGGTACTTTTTTCTGATGGCATTCTATCTTTAAGCATCTCTTCAACATTTCACATTTCTGTACACAATCAAAATATAACTATGACAATGGTTGACAAGGATAAATATGGATCAGCTCTATGCTCCCTTTTGCCAAAGAAGATATAACTATAGGAGTTATATCTGTCAATTATACTATAATTCAGTACTGGAGTTATTTATACAAACCAAAACAAAGATACAGTATCATGAAAATCAGTTAATTCTTACCTGGGCATCCCATATCCCCGACCTTGTCGTTGAGATGAATGTTGAGGGTAGAAATGTTCACTAGACATAATATGGCCAGATGTCTGTGAGTAGAACAATAGAGGGTCATGCCCAAAATGCATACTATGCTGAATCCTGGATGGGACATGTGGATCTCCCCTGCTGTAAGCCATGGTCATATAAACCTCTTTCCCTCGAACTTTCTTAAACATCTTTTTCCGTTGCTTCATGCTCATCTCTGTTGTAACTTTCAAAAAAAACAAATACATAGTACATAAGCATTACAACCAAAGTAAAAGGTAATGTTCCTCTACCATCATCATACTTTAAAACTGTCAGATAGATACTTTCCTTAGAAACAAATCAAGTAAGTAGGTAAGTGTAAGGAAGAAATCTGTGCAGTTTTTCAAGTATGTACTTCATCTGAAGGACCAAAGAAACAAGCAGTTCATTTATATGTTCATGAGTATTTAAATACTCAGTATTTCAACCCTGACTTTAAGACTGGCAGATTTGGTTATCAAAAATATTGAGTCATCCAGTTGCCTACATTATTTTTCTCTAAAAAATTGTGTTGAATATATCTGGTTGCACTTATAAGATGTCTTACTAGTTATCTGGAAATATTTTAAATCTCTTTAAGCTTTAGTTTATATGAGGTCATCTAGAAAGTAGGTTCTCAGATAATTTTGTCACCTCCTCCTACAGAACATATCTACTAATGTCCAAAGACAATTTTACTGTTATGACTAGGCAAAGGAGGCTATTAGTACCTACGGCACAGGTACCACGTATCACCCTAGAATGTCCAGGATAGTCCTCTCCTCTCCACTAAAGCACTAGCTATCCCAGCATAATAGTGTGGAAGAAATGCTACTCTACATCAGGACATATGGAAAACCTTTAAAAAGTACTATGTAAGTAAACTGAACTACAACAGAAAAAAAAAAAAACCATTTAGGATACAAACCCATTTCCGGGAAATAGCCGCCAGTCACAGGCTGGTAACCTCTTCCTTTACGAGATGGCAAAGTATTCCAGAAAGGAAGAAGTGCCACTTGGCTGACTGGTTTTACATTATCCAGCGGAACTGCATGCCTTGAAGTGAAAGGTATTGTATCATGAATTCATTACAACACACACTTAACTCTCTCATTCAGTAAACAAATGTATCCTTCCTGCTTCAGCTTTAAGCACATTCCCCTTTTCTGTTTTCCTTGGAAACAAGGTCTCACTATGTAGCCTTAGCTGTCCTGGAACTCACTACATAGACCAGGCTGGTCTCAAACTTAAGAGATTTATCTCTTCAATTTCCTGAGTGGCATGTGCCACCACCTGACTCAAGTGCATTTCCTTTAAGTCTATTATTACACTAGCTTTCCTATACATTTGTTGTTTTACCCTTTAACTTAGAAAACCTAAATGCAGTTTATATAATTTCACAGCTATTTATAGTATCTATCACATCCAGAAGAAATATTATGGTAGATTGTATTAATTCATAAAAATATGCTTCTTTTCCATGAAAGAGAATCATATGCCCTAACTAGACTCACCATCAGGCTTGGGTATATAAATTAAATTTACTTTGACCAATTAAATAGTAAAATGTTTTTACAAGTGTCAAATAATATGTCATGGTCTCATTTTTTTCTTTGTCTGTGATCATGAAAGCACATTTCAAAACAAAGCCTTTAGCCTAAACATAACTACAAGTTCAAGGCCAGCTTGTACAACTAGTTATAAAGATACAAATACTGAACATGTAATATATTTAGGAATATATACACATGTGCATGTAACAATGAATAAAAGAATGAGGGAAAAAGTATATATGGGAGGGTTTAGAGGGAGAAAAGGGAAAATTATGTAATTATATCGTCACCTCAAAAAATTTATAAATTAATAGCAAGGGACAGTTAAAGTGCTTGTTCTATCTAGCAAGTCTAAGGTCCCAGGTTTAATCCACAGTACCAAAACAAACAGAGAGCAAAGGCTGGTTGGTTTATGTTTCCTTTCCTGACAAATTATAGACACACTAAATGAGGGAGAAATTAACTTTAATGTTTTAAGCTGCTGGGATTTTGTGTTTAGGTTACTTTACCATAGTTACTGGGTCTTAACCATAACTAACATTAGCATCACATAGAGATTAGTTAAAAATTCAAATTCCTGGGCCCTATCTGAATGATAAATTTAGGGTACTGGGATCAATTTCTGTTTGCAAAGCTCTAGATGCAAACTGTAGAAAGGAATGAAATAAGTCATCTTGACACTGATAGTTTGGATGTATCTGGCCTCCATAATCTCATAGGGAGTGACACTATTTGGAGGTGTGGCATTGTTGAAGTAGCAGTGGTCTTTTTGAAGGAAGACTGTCACTGGGCGGGGGGGCTATGAGGTATCATATATGCTTGAAGCATACAGTGAGACAGAATGTTTCCTGTTGCCTGCACGCCATTATGCCTCCTACCATGACTATAATGGACTAAACTGATGAAATGCAAGCGGCCACCTCACTCAGCTAGATGATTTCCTTTATAAGAGTGGTCATGGTGTCTCTTCACAGCAACAGAAACCCTAACTAAGACATACTGGCAGAAACCCAACAACACACCTTTCAAAATATCATATCAAATAAACTGACCAATACCTAAACTTGGGAATTTTTATATGATGCATATTTTGGTATGTAACTCTTCAATGCTTACTTTTATTAACCAAAGTAATTAGATTAGCAGGTACAATTCTGGTTCTCTCAACTAGCATCCTGGTGATTCTCAATTTAATGAGTAAGCATCTATCAAATTTAATTACTATACAGTCTTACCTTTCTGCCAATTCCTCAATGAAAACTATTACCGAGTTTTTATCATTTTCAATTTCTTGAATGTGAGCATTATAATATTTTCCATCTGGTTCCAAGCAAACCTGAAAGACAGGAAACAGTACTCATATATTAAATCATCTGGTCTTGACCACTGACAAATTTGTGCTTAGTCAAACAACCATTTTTCTCCAAATGTCATTCAATGTCTACTTTTTGAAAGAACTGAGATCAAAACTAATCTATGAGGCATATATCAGCTTACATGTGATTATAACAAAGTCTGGAAATAAAATTTAACACAATACAAACAATAAAATCTTTCTTTTAGCATTTTGTAAAGAAGTCTTCATCAATGTTTTTGTTGTTGTGTTGGAGATCTAATCAAGAGCCTTAAACATAATGGCCACGTATTCTATCACTGAACTATACACTCAACCTTTGTTTTATTCAGACAAGGTCTTGGTATAGATATAAAGCTCAGCCTGGCCTTGAAAATATGTTTCTCCTTCCTAAGCTAGGATAACAGACAGGCATCACTATGCCCAGGAGGATCAACCCATGTTAATGATTAAAGGTATACTCATGGAAAAATAAATCATTATCTTTAAAGAACTAACCTGACACTTGTCTCCTAAATAGTAATGTCTTCCAGCATATTCCATGCAATCTGATTTTTGAAGTTCTGTTAAGAAAAAAAAGATGATTAAAGCCCAATTTAATTGAATACTTTCTTACTGCACATTATTAGATTACCTCATTTACTTTAACATGGTGTATTTGATGTGGATATCAGTAAAAGAAAAAAAAATGTCCCAAAGGGCCATTCTAACACCCTTGATGGGTGATTGCCATGGCAAATTTATTAAACAGAACTGTCTGAATAGTTCTGCACTTTAAAGCAGTTAAGTAGAAGTTAGTTTTAGATTTGGTTAAACACAAAAGTCACAATTTGAAAGTAATACATTTATTAGTATTTTACTTTTATACATGGTTTTAACTTCATTCTAATTAACTATACTGAATTCATCAAAGTTCAAAGGGATGAATGTGAGATATTATCCCTTGCAGGCAGTATATTAAGGACTAATTTGATGAATTCAGTTACATAATCTAAAGAAAACAACAATCTACATTGAGAGTTATTACTATAAATATGTTCTTTAAAGATCCAGACAGCTAATTTTAGAAACTGTGGGCTACAAACTTTCAAAATTAATCAATTCTTCATGGGTAAACGCAGTTGAGGGCACTTGCCATTAAACAATCAAAATTTCTCCTCTAGACTTGGCGATGGTGGCACACAGTAAAGTCAGGAGATCTCTAAATTCACAGCCAGCCTGGTCCACAAAGCAGGTTCCAGGACAGTTAGGCTACACAGAGAAACCCTTCTCAAAAAAGCAAAACAAGGGAACACAAATTGTCTTCCCACACAATGGACCCTAGCACCTGAATATACACAGATAAGTATACAAAAATATACTTAATAAAAGTATTCCATTCTCCTATAAAATTTAATGAACACCGAGTTTTTGTTTGTTTTTTGAGACAAGGTTTCTCTGTATTGCTTTGGAGCCTGTCCTGGCACTCACTCTGTAGACCAGGCTGGCCTCGAACTCACAGAGATTCACCTGCCTCTGCCTCCCAGGTGCTGGGATTAAAGCAACACCCAGCCAGAACACTGAGTTTTGAATTATGTAATTTTCATGTCTTACAGCACCTCTCTGTCATTTCAAAATAGAGAATGGCAGTAGTAGAAGGTATGGTCTTGTTGGAGGAAGTATGTCACTGTGGAGGCAGGTTTGAGATCTCATATATGATCGAAGCATGCCTAGTGAGACAAATGTGTTGCCTGATGGATCAAGATGTATGTAACAGCACCTTCTCCAGCAAGCACCACGTCTACCTGCATGTCGCCCTGCTCCCCACCATGAGGATAATGGACTAAACCTCTGAACTGTAAGCGATTAAATGTTTTCTTTTATAAAAGTTACCGTGGCCATGGTATCTCTTCATAGCAATAGAAACTCTAAGACAGTTTGATGAACGCATGTCTCATAAAAAAGTACAATATAATGTCCTGTATCTAACAGAATTCAGAGGTATCCTGAGGTATCCTGCTGATACTTTATTACCTTTTCTACTGTCCAACCAAGCATCAAATTCTATATTGCGATATATTTCTGGATCCAGAGCTTTTAGCACCTTATAAGGAAAGAGCATCCTTGATGGATTTTCTGGAAACTGAAACAAAAAAGTCATGGTATAAACTTGTCATCTTTAAAGATCCTTTTATGAAGAAGTTTCTTCTTTTTAAAACTGTACATAATTCCACCTTTCCTTTGTTATTAAAACAAAAAATAGCACAAAAATTTACCATGTATTTAAAAAATATCAAGAGACTTAAAGGAGCAATACTGGTCTAAGATCAAGTAGGCTTAACATATAGAAATATTTCTCATAATTCAAGAGATAATGAGTAACAATTTCATAACTATACTCCACTATTGATAAACACAAAACAATATCATCAGAATATTGATTACAAAGTATTAAATTTTATTACTTTAATTTTAAAATAAAAGCTTCTAAAATGCCTTAAGTATTCAAAGTCAGTTTTGAAAACTGGCTTTTTGGAGCTCATTCCCTATGGAGAGATACTCTCTCAGCCTAGATACAGGGGGCAGGGACTCGGTCCTGCCCCAAATGATGCCACAGACTTTGATGATCCCCCATGGGAGGTCTCACCCTCCCTGAGGAGTGGATGGGCGGGTAGAATGGGGAAATGATGGAGGAAATGGGAGGACAAAAGGGAGAGGGAACTGGGATTAGTATATAAAATAAGATTGTTTTTAATTTAAATAAAAATTTAATAAAAAAGAAAAAATTCTCACAAAATACATACCTTACATTTTAGACAAGTAGGATTTACACAAAGGAAAGTATAAACTACTTCTATCCCTACTCTATATAATTAGAATGAACTATCTGATTTTAATTATTTTAAATTATGACACTCTAAGACAAGTGTATGAAATTCTCTGCATGAGAAAATATCAAACCTTTAATTCTGTTTCTTGCTTGCTGTCTTCTGGTGTATTTTTGACACTGGAAGAGGCACCAAACTCTTCAATTCTAATTGAAAATATTCAAAGAAAATAACATTATATAAATGCAGCACTTACTTACTTGTCTAATGTCTCACAAGTATGTCATACCACTCAGTAGTAAGAATTTCAGTTCTGAAAAATGAAGCAAGTAAGTTTTCAACACATCCTCATTAGGTTTCTGTGGTAAGTATGTGTTTAAAAAATACTTGGATTATTTCCTATTAAGATGGTTCTGTGATCCTGACTCTTAATGTTCACAGCTTCTGATTTCTTGGTCATGAGATTGCTTCTAATTTTAGAGAATTTATGTACTTACATTAAAAATGCACACACATACCCCACAGTGCCCACCCATCTCAATGGCCTCTCTTTCCCCTGCTGTCAGTAGGAAACTAAGTAGTTATCCATGTTCACCAAGCTAAAGGTAGGTCACTCCTCCTACCACCAAACAAATACAACAAAAAACCCTAAAGCTATCAGCCAAGTAAGCTAGAAAGAATTAAATGCTATGAAGAACCTTTAGTATTTCCCAAAATTCCATTTAAGAACTCTGTCCTGGCCAGCACCTTTATTAATAATCTTACGACATCCTTCCTTAACAGAAGTATAAGCTAAGTCATGGTATGATTTCTAAACCACATGAACTATAATATCAATGTGTTGTTTTAAGCTGTTAATTTTGTAGTAATTTTGCCTTTCAACTACTGTAGCTTACATAAACCCAAACTCTTAAGAAATCAGCAAAGAGAGGCAGATACCCACAGACAAACACTGAACTGAACTCCTGGAATTCAGTGTCAGAAAGAGAGAACTGATGGGCATAGGAGTTAAGACTGGGCTGGTTTAACCCACAGAAACAGTTGAACTGAACAAGGGGGAGCTCTTGGACCCCAGATTGATGGCTGTGTGGAAAGCATGGGACTGACCCAGACCCCCTGAAAGTGGGTGTCAGTGAGGAGGTCTAGGTAATCAATGGGGCCTTGGGTAGTATTTATCCCTGGTGAACAAATAGACTTTGAGTGTCACAATATGGGAGGCTCTCTCAGCCGGGACTCTTGTGGGAGGGCCTAGGCCCTGCCCTGGATGAAATGACAGTCACTGGAGATCCACCATGGAGGGCCTCACCCTCCCTGGGAATTGGAGTGGAGATTGGGTGGGGGACCTGGTGTGGAGGGTGGGGAAAGAGGGAAGAGAGAGGGAGCTGGGATTGACATGTGAAACAAGATTGTTTCTAACCTAAATAATAATAATAATAATAATAATAATAATAATAATAATAATAATAATAAAAAGAAATCAGCAAAGAATGAAGCAATCTTCATTTTGACAAAACTGTTGCCACTCCTCAGGCTCCCAAATAAGCTTTAAAAATATTCTTCTGATGGCTCAGTGGTTCCTGGAAAGGTACTGGCTGCTAAGCCTGATAACTGACCTGAGCATTATTGTCTGTCTGTCTGTCTGTCTGTCTATCTGTCTGCCTGTCTTTCTTTCTTTCTGTTTTTGTTGTTGTTGTTGTTTTATTTTGTTTGTTTTTCGAGACAGGGTTTCACTGTATAGCCTTGGCTGTCCTGGAACTTACTCTGTAGACCAGGCTGGTCTCTAATTCACAGAGATCTGCTTGCCTCTGCCACCCGAATACTGGGATTAAAGTTGTGCAACACCACCACATAGCATTGATATTGTCTTCTTAAAGCAGATTCTTTAACCCAACCTGACCACAAATGTTCTGACGGGAGGCTGAGTAATCTGTCTAATCTACGATGAGCAACTTATATACAACTAAATTGAGAAGTGCTAATTCTAAAGTCTCTTCTAGAAAAAAAGAGGATTCTAACTTTAACTGAACTCTCTAAGTCTGAGCATTTCAGAACACAATTTGGTAAAACTTTTCTCTTGCAAATAAAAACAATATATCACTAACATACATGTATCTGCATTTATGTAATCAAGCTATTTCTACTTTCAGATGCTAACCCAAAAGAAATATTAAAATCATAGAGATAACAACCCTTTTCTTTTAGTACCTATCCTCGGATGAGCTCTTCTGATCAGTACTGCCTTCTACATTTCCAGTCAAAGCGTTGTTTCTGTTTCTCCTGGAACCACTTCGAAACAAATGAACTGCAGTTTTCAATGTTTCTTCATCCACAACAAATACATCTTTATAAAGAATTTCATATAATATTGCTGAAGGAAGAAAAAAAGCCAAAATCTCAATTGTCAAAATAAGACTCTTTCATAAAAATGTGAAAAAATTCCTAAACCAATATGTAAGTTCTGTAAGTACCAACAATGTTTTAAAAGGCCTTCAGTTTAAAGACTGATAACCAGTCATTAGAAAACCCATACATTTAATAAAGACCTTCATATACCTTGGCAAATTCCTGCAGTTGACTGAAATTCTTTTGAGTACACAGAATCATAATGGCCATTATTTGAATAACAAAGAAGAATCTGAAGGAAAACATATTAAATAAAATGTTATTTTTAGCATATTTTATAATCATAAAAGTTAGTAATCAGCAGTTGATAAACTAAATGGAATTTCATTCTTAAGACATTTAACAAATCTAGAAGAATACAACCTGTACCTGAAAATAACTTTTAAGCAATGACTGTTATTTATATACCAAGATTGAAAACACCTAATTATACCATGAACCTCAATCACATCCCTGAAATGCACTAAACCAAGTCCTGACTGGTGGCTCTGCATTAAGATGGGAACTTTCACAAATTCAATTCCTGAACAAAACAGAAAGCCCAACAGATGTGGAAAGTTCAATCTTAGTTTCTCAGAATAATTGGAGAAATTATGTAAAATGTCCTACTATCCAAATATCTAAAATTTAGACAGGGGAGGAAAAAGGACAGACATCAGGCAATTTGGTTAAAAGACTGAAAAAGAGTCGAAACACGAGAAAAGATGTTTCCAGAAAAACTCTAAATTACTAATATGGCTACAAAAACAAAGGGTTAACTTCTTGGTGGATTCCTTAAATTTCCAGTGCTTTACAAAACAATTACAGGGCCATGTTTACTAACAAAAACTTTTTGGTAAATGTCTCCTTTGATGAAACTTGTGCGTGTAACAGCTGCAAATATTTTCTTTTGCCCAAAAGTCTGTTTAGAATCAAGCACTAGTGAAAGAGAAATTTCAAGTGAAAACCCAAAAAAAATGTCATATAGGGATGCAGTTCAACGTTATAGAACTGGTGTAGCTAGCATGCTCAAAGCCCTGGATTCAACCCGCAGCACCACACATAAGATAGCCTACAGAATGAGGAAAAATCATTGCCATTTATACAATATTGAACTAAAAAAATAACCCCAAAGAGTCTAATCCATAAACAGGTAAGCAGGGTGAACAGTCAAATCTTAGAAGATGAAAATGAGTATGCAATAAATACATGAAAAGATGGTCAGTATTATTAATCATTTGGAATGAGAATTAAAACTACACAACTCCATCTCACTCCAGACAGAAAGGTTGCCATTACAAAAACAGGATCAGCAAGATGGTTCAGGAAGAAACTTGCTGTCAAGCCTGAACTCAAGCCCAGGGAGCCTAAGTCAGTCTGTATGTTTCTCTCCCTACCGCCTCCCTATCAGAGTGAGTGAGTGAGTGAAACCAAGATGGAATACGGACAATTTACTCACACTAGTGGGAATGTAAATTAATGTAGACAGTAATCGCTATGCAGACTCCTCAAGAATACAGTATGAAACAATTAGCACTACTGGGAATAGACCTGAAGGGATCTAGGTAAGCATACTGTAGATGTGTGTATATCCATGATTACTGCAACTAGTAGCACCCAGGTATCCATGTGGTATATATACATAATTTTTATTCAACCATAGAGAATACATTCACTATTTTACAAAAATAGAATGTCATATTAGGTGAAATAGGCCATACTCAAATTATCGCATGTTCTCATTCACATGTAGAATATGGTGTATATACGTATATACATACATACATACATACACACAAAAATAGAAAGGAATACTTAAGAATTTGAAAAGGACTGATAAGGAGTGCAAAAGAAAGTAAAGAGGGTAAAAATGGTGAATGTGGATGATATTTTTAAAATAAAATGTCGTTATTAAAGTTATCACTTTGTAAATAAATATAATCCTTAGTAATTCATTTCAAAGTCATATGTAGAATCAATAACCTGAATTACTAAAGATGATTTTGTGATGTTTCAAGAATGTTGAAACCAAGCACTTTTTTTCCTACCTTCCTATACTACCCTGCTATAACTTCTACCAACAATTAACTTTTCTGAACCCAGGGCCAGTTTCCTTCTCTATACTTAATTTTTGATTTTAGCTCAAAATTCCACTCTGTCAACATAATTCATTTCAGGGTATTAAGAGCAAGTGTCAAGCTAATGTGACAATAAAGAATTACAAATATGGGTTCACACCAGTAGCACAGACAGTGAGATCAACAATTAATAAATGGGACCTCCTGAAACTGAGAAACTTCTGTAAGGCAAAGGACACAGTTAGCAAGACAAAAAGGTAGCCCACAGAATGCGAAAAAAATATTCACTAACCCCACATCTGACAGAGAGTTGATCTCCAAAATTTACAAAGAACTCAAGAAGCAAGTCTCCAAAACACCAAAAGATCCGATTAAAAAGTGGGTTGCAGAACTACCCAGAGAATTTTCAATAGAGGAGTCTAAAATGGCTGAGAGGCACTTGAGAAAGTGCTCAACATCCTTAGCCATCCGGGAAATGCAAATCAAAACAACTCTGAGATACCATCTCACTCCTGTCAGAATGGCTAAAATCAAAAACACCAATGACAATTTATGCTGGAGAGGATGTGGTGCACTCCTCCATTGCTGGTGAGAGTGCCAACTTGTTCAGCCACTTTGGAAATCAGTATGGAGATTCCTCAGAAAAATGGGAATAAACCTACCACAAGACCCAGAAACTCCACTCTTAGGCATATATCCCAAAGATGCCCATGCATACAACAAGGACATCTGTTCCACTATGTTCATAGCAGCATTATTTGTAATAGCCAAGACTTGGAAGTAACCAAGATGCCCCTCAACTGAAGAGTGGATAGAGAAAATGGAGTACTATTCAGCAGAAAAAAACCCTGAGATTTGCAGGCAAACGGATGGCACTAGAAGAAACCATCCTGAGTGAGGTAACCCAGTCACAAAAAGAGAAACATGGCATGTACTCTCTCATATATGGATTCTAGACATAGATCTGGCGAGTGCCAGCCTACAATCCCATGGCCAGAGAGTCTGAAAAACAGAACCCTTATTCAGTGGCTGATGGAAGAAGAGGCAGACACCCACGGCTAAGCACTGAGCTGAACTCAAGATATCCAGTGACAGAGAGGGAGGACTGATGACCAAAGGCATTAATTAAGTCTGGGCTGTTTTAACCCCCAGAAACAGCTGACCTGACAAAGGTTAGCTCTTGAATCCCAGGCTGATGCCTGGGAATCCAGCATGGGACTGATCAAGACCCCCCTGAATGTGGGTGTCAGTGAGGAGGCCTAGGTAATCTATTGAGCCTTGGGCAGCAGATCAGTACTCATCCTGAGTATACACACAGACTCTGGACTCCGATCCAACAATGAGAGATGCACTCTCACCCTGAACTCTTCGGGGAGGGTCTAGGCCCTGCCCTGGATGAAATGACAGACTATGGGACACCCCCATGGAGGGCCTCACCCTCCCTGGGGAAATGAGGGGATATTGGGGGGGGGTTGGGGAGAGGAGGGGAGGGAAATGGAGAGGGACCTGGAACTGACTTGTGAAGCAAACTTGTTTCTAATTTAAATTTAAATTTAAAAATAAATAATAATAATAATAAACAAATATGGGTTCACTGACTGGAGACGGTATTTACATTTAAGAGGGTTTATTAATAACAGAAGTCCAGATTTCCAACTAAGAAAGGTTAATAATTGGAAGCAATGAAGAACTAAACATAATTCAGATAGCCAAAACTGATGAATAAACAGCAGTTCTAATAGAAAAAGGATTCTAATTTTTCTATTACAAAAGAAGGCACGATAACTTTTGTATTTTCAGTGGTGGACAGCCCAAAGTAAAACAATCTGCTTAATAAATCTTCTGGATAGTGTATGTTTTGAGTAGGTCGGTGGGTGTGATGGTTTTAAGTCAGTGAGTACATAGGATCAACCTCTATTACTGGTAATATATGACTGAAAAGAAAAACGTAATCTTAAACATAAGTCTAGTCAGGTATAGTGTGCTCAGAGTTTAAATGTGCTTATAGAGCAACCCTGACAATGTAAGGTCAATTACTAGAACCCATAATGGAGAAATAATTCCCAAAAGTTAGCCTCAGACTTCTAAGGCCACCCTTAACACACACACACCCCACACATACATCCCTGGACTCACAAATATACATACACCACACACAATAATGATAATAATAATTTTTTTAAAACAAAAACTAAATAACCTAGCACTCAGAAGGTGAATGCAGGCAGATGTCTGTGAGTTCAAGGCCAAACTTGTCTACACACTGAATTCCAGGACAGTCAGGGAAAAATAGAGAGATCCTTTCTATAAACCAACAAAACAAAACAGAAAACCTATTATTTGTAATAGCCAAGACTAAATAATGTCCAACTCTTAAAAACATTTTTGAAAACTCAAGCAGTTCAAATTAAGTCTTACAGAGTCTGGGGCTAAAGGTGCTGCTCAAATGTATAGTACTTGTTTACCATATAGGATGACCTAGCAACTAAAGAACCACAAAAATAAAGAAATAAATTTAGAGTGCCAGCATAGCAAGGATACATAAGACTGTATGTGTGATTCTCAATTTCCCCAGACACATACCAAAAAAAGAGCAAAGCAAGGTGGTACTTTACCTTCTTCCTCCTGTTCACTACAGGAAATATCCACCACAATTCCTTGTCTCAAAATATAAAACTGAGCCATAGTAACAGAAATTGCATGGTACTAACACAAAGACAGACAAGCAGTTTGATGGAATAAGATTCAGAAATAAACCCGCAATGCCACAGCTACCAAATTTTTGACATGTATTAAAAATACACACTGGAAGGCCAGGTGGTGGTGGTGAGCACCTTTAATCCAGCACTCAGGAAGCAGGGAAAGGATTGTAGAATGAAGGATGGGGGGCCACAAGGTCATAACAAGAAAACCAATGGAATCAACTAACCAGGGCTCATAGGAACTTAGAGAGACTGCATGGAACTAACCTAGGCACTCTGAATATATGTTACAGTTGTGTAGCTTAGTCTACTTGTGGGACTCCTAATGGTGGAAGCAGGGGATGTCTCACTCTTTTGCTTGCTTACGGGACCCTTTCCTACTACTGAACTACCTCATCCAGCCTTAATATATACTGAGGCATTTAGTCTTACTACAACTTGATATAAATTGTGTTTCACATCCATGGGAGACC